ACAAAACAAACGAACAAAAAAAATTAAAGATGAGAAAGAAGTTAAATCAAAGTGAGGAAGAATCGGTTGAAGATGTCTGCATTTGGGAGGTTAAATAACGCACCACCAGTGTTGGTGCTGCTGCTTGTAGAGGTGCCCATTCGAGTAGACATCCTCTTGAGCATAGAGCGGCGTGAAGCCCGGCGGACGGATTCCTGTGTCATACTGTGCCGAAGACCAGCCAGTGAGTGCCGCAGTTTGAGGGAGCAGCGTGCAGAGCTCCGCCTTGACCTCCGATCAGCTGCAGCTATTGCTATCTTTGTAGCTGTACGACCCTGAGACGTCTCTGGCTTACTGGCAAGTTCGGCAGACAAGCGATCCTCTGCTGAGATGTTGACGACCAACTCCGGTGAAAGAATCTTCAGAGGAGCCTGAGAAGTGCTGCTTGCTTCGTCAGATTTGGTTTCTGCATCACTAACTTTTTGAGCTTTGTCCACTTCATCCTCTTCCTTACCCAGCTCTGGCTTCTTGTTCTGCACCTCTTCCTGCTTGCTGCCCTCACTGGATGCCAGGCTCTCATCTACATCTTCAGGCTTTGTCTGTTTGTTTTTACGGGTAGCACGTTTTGGTTTTGGAGGGTTACAACTCTCAGAGGTTGAGACCTCAGAGATCGCTTCTTCTTCAGAAATCAAGTTCAAGGATTTCACAGATGATCCACGAAGATTGCTACGCTTTCCCTTTGAGAACCTGCATCAGACACAAAAAGTTGCCACAGACACAGGTAAAACATAATTGCAGGTATTTACCCTTCATAAAAAGAAATTATCAAACAAACCTCCTTGCTTGACCTTCCTCTTGTCGACCTGCAGACACCCGCCTCCTGCGGCTGTTCTTTTTCTGTGACGGCGTTTTCGGCATCAGTTCTGGTTCAGCATTAAAGTCTCTGAAAAAAAAACAAGAGAGATGTATGTATACATATATATATATTTTAAGAGTCTGGCAAGAATCCACTTAGCAGACCGTCACTGCATTAAGGCAAGCCTACCTAGAGAACATGCGGTTTGCTTCTTGTTGTATTTCTTCCAGCCAAACCATGTGGACATTTTCAATCTCACTGACAAATTCCTGCGTCTTTCCCACAAACATCTCCGTCAGGGAGCGCATCGACGGCAGCACGGAGTTCATGGTGGCAGCTATAGAAAGAAGATCGAGTGATTATTAAACTGTTGACTTGATCGCATATGCTTTCACAGAATGTGAGATTTGTTAGTTTTTGAGAAGACAGCATGTAAGGAAATTCTCTATAATTAAATACTAGCTATCCAGGTCAATGTCTTGCCAAAACTAGTGTGCTGTAAAGCAAGTACAGTACTGTAAGTACTGTAATCAACTGCAATGTTGATTCTATTTAATGCTAAAGCTAATTTACTTCCAGAAATTTAGTTAAGCTGAGGAGTTGCATGTTGGGAGAACAAGCTAGGCCTGTCACAATAAACAATAAATCAATTAATCGGATGTTAAATGAAGATTATTGACCTCATTTTAATTTATTGGCTTTATTGTCTCTTCCTATTGATGACACTGGATGAAAAAGGATTCAACTCTGGTGCTCTCCAGTGATCCCTCCCTTCCCCGTTCCCTTAGCAAAAGGGAGGAATGAACTATTGCATCAGGTAGTCGGATATGCCCATCTTCTCTATACAAATCTAATGATTATTGAAGGGCAATATAGTACACAGACTTCATAACCTGCGCTCTTTTAGTTGAATGTAGTTTTTATTAACACTTTGGTTTTATGTTGCGTTTAGTTTTTATTCAAGTCCATTTTTAGTTAACGGAAACTGAGAGTCCAATTCATTTTTGTTTGTTTTGTTTGTTTTGTTTACCTGTTCTAGTGTTGTGTGTTTTTGAAAATAAAGTGCATTTATGTTTGGCAGGATGTGTTGCATTATTATGTCATTACATCACATCAGTTTAAAATGGTCTTCAAACCATAACATCGTAATCATTTTTGAGACAATTAATAGCTCAACAAAATTTGCTATCGTGACAGACCTGTGATAGCTTTGTTACTTTTAGAGAAGCAAAAATGTTGGATTGAAAGGAAATTCTCTAGAATTACTACCTCTCCAGGTAAGTGTCTTACCAAAAATAGTGTGCTGCAAGTTGGTTTATTGTACATCGCAGTTAAAAACTGCAATGTTTATTCTATTCAATGCTAAATTTGATTTATTTCCAGAAATAATTTAGTTCATCTGAGGAGCTGCATGTTGGGAAACATGTTTTTTTTTTTCTTTTGGAAGTTCATAAAACTTTAAAAACCAATAATAATATGGAGATTTAAATTTAAGAGTGACATTGAATGGGAAAACACAGTTGAAAAACTTAACCTGTTTTTTCATCACCATTTTGTTCCTTTGATTACTGTTATACATATTAATAGCATAATTTAATAATATTGTTATACTTTATATACTACTTTGTTATACTACACTATGTACATTATGCTTTTTGCACTTTTGTAAAACTTCTTCTCTCAATGATAACAGTGATCATGAAACTTCAATGTTGTAAAAGTGGCATTTTACCGTACAGTCAAAATAAACGTTTTAACTAAGCTCTTATGCTTAGTTAATATTTTTTACAATGGTCTATAACTAAGAGATGTGCGTTTATAATTATTAAATTTTAAATTTCCTAAACAAATTATGCAAAATTCCGGAATCGACTATCAGTCAATTCGCACACAGTATGTTCGACGATAACAATACTTGTAATTTTCTGCACTTTCCCCGACAATAACGCGTCGATAGCATCAATAATACATTTGAAACACTCGGGGGGGAAATTACAGTTAACAATAGCAACTACCGGTTTGAAAGTGCAGCATGCTAGCTCGGGGTTGGGGAGGTTTGTAAGAAAATCATAAGGGAAACTACAAACAGCAGCAATTCAACCGGGAACAAAAACAGACCTCGAGTTGTAAGTAACACCAGCATTAACGTTTGAATTTCTACCCACTCCAAAAACCACCAGAAGACTAACGTTAAAATGTTAGCAAGGTAACGTTTACATAGACGAGCATCATTATTTACCTTTAGTATCCGCGTTTCTTTACGTCAACAAAGACCGTTGGTCTGTTAATTATAGTAAAAAAACACACACAACCTAAATCAATCGCATATCTGCACTGAACAAAAACGAACTATTAATAATCCCCACGTTTGCGTGTAAATACTTCGGCCTTGGAAGTGAGGGAAGACAACAGCTATTCTCCCGATAACCCGCTGAAACCGTTTTTAACTTGTTCAAACCGCGGCTCGACAACCAATCACAGAGCAGAACAGCTTTTTCGAGTGGGTCGATGTTTTCACCGGGACATCCAGGACAAGCGGAGTTAACCTTGCAAATGGCAGCGGCGAAGTATGCGGGGAGTGGCAACGGCGGGGTCTGAAGGAATATAATATAAACACTGCGGAAGTTTACGGGTTACGAGTCAGATTTAAATCGACCAATCACTGGTTAGAATTTTTCTTGTTCCTCTTTCGACACCTTTGCCAATGTTTACGGCAAAGTGACAACGTTGTTGTTTTCTCTGATTTTGACCTAACTACTACTTTTATACTATATTAAAATAGTATGCACATTTGGTTGACTATTTAAAGTTAGAAAACAGTCCGTGTTGAGAAAGGTCCAGATGAACACATCCTATTGTGAAAGCAAGATGTGTTACTTTCTCAGAGTTTTAGAGATTTCTATTCTAAAGAGTTCAGTCTGAATGAGTCGTAATGATTAAATGCAAGGAAGTCTATAAATGGGAGAGAAAATTCCCCAAACAGCGGATATTAATAGCCATAATAAAGGCTTTTATTCACGGTAAAATGATCAGCTCTCAGTGAGATAAGCAGAGTCCCTCTAAATGAGATGAACATGGTGACCAAAAAGGAAACCAGAACAGGGTTTTCCTAAAATATAAGTTTTCATAAAGAGAGGCGATCTGCGGTGTCTGCAGGATGTAAATTATTTAATTAGCACAACTGTCAATAGTTTAAATAGTTGAATAGTAGTCTAAAGGCAAGTGGCCAGTAGAGTGGCTGCAAGTCACGGGACTTGTTTGGGTGGGTTTGAGGCCTTTGGTGGCGATGACGTGCAGGGTCTTCATTACTTCATTCTTTTTCTCTAACTGCCACTTTGCACTTGCTGGTCGCAGAGCCCAGATCTGATCTCGTTCTCGCCATTTTAGCAGCATAAACCTGAGAAGCAATGATGCCCAGAAGTTCTCTATCTGCAGAGAGCGTTTCCATTGAAGCCTTGGAGGCGGTGGTCGACCGCGTTTTCATCGACATGACCCCAGAGGATTGGTTGAGACTGGAAGCTGCACCCTGGGGGAGATTTGTGGAGAAATCTTGGACATATTTACATCTAACATTCTGGAAAATCTCCACAAGCAAAAGTTCACCATTGAGGGCTTGGAGGCGGCTTTAGGGAACAAAGTTCCCGAAACCTTTGCAGAAATCATGGACATCGATGGAGACTACCATACCGAGCACACAGAGTACTTAAACCAGCTGATAGTGAAATATCTGTTGGATAAAATTTATCACAGCTTGAACTCAGACAACACGCCAACGAATCACGTCGAGCAGGCACCCTCTATTCGCATAATCATATATATATATATATATATATATATATATATATATATATATATATATATATATATATATATATATATATATATAAGTTTATAAATATGAATATGTACAAAACAGAAGAGGAATGGTTTTTCTTTTTCCTTTCAGTTGACGTTCTTTTTCTTGGGCGAAGTACTGCTTTGAAAATCCATATTTAATTACCCAGCTGGGATTTTTTAATCCTCAGTGTACCTTTGTTCATTAATTTAAAATAAGTATCTTTAAACATAGGTGTAATTGAAGAAATAACATTAAAATATGTTTGCATGGTTCTTTTTTAATGAAACAACCTTACATTTGCAAGATCATTTGTGACAAAGGCAAAAAAAGAGTCCAAAATAGTGTTTTATTGTTTCTTTATAATATTACCAATAATTTTTCATGTTCACTGTTGAAAATTCCAACACATATCGCAGACATAGTAATTTTGCATGTTTGTCTGTGATTGAAATGATGAGGAGGAGTGACAAGGCTCTTGTTTCAAAGCGGCCAGCAGAAAGACGGGGCACCCATTTTACAGATGCAGCCTGCTTCTCGAGGAAAAGTGACCGGCTGTCCTGAAATGACAGATGTGTAGTATTCATTTTATTTTTCTAACTTCAATGTTTCTTTAATGAAGCACAAACTGTGGCTGCATGTCACTGCTTGTGTGTTACCTGGCATTAGAGGGATTTTAGCTCCTGATGCTTTCAGGACAACTTGCAGCTTATGAGGATTAGTGTTTCCAGCTCTGCCAGTCTGTTCTCTGAGTATGACGCAGACATCATCTTTCCTGAGCAGCCAGTCCATCTGATTGCCCAGATAGTTGATGCCACGGACACACAGTTCACAGATCTCATCCGGAAGCAGCGGTGCAAAGGCCAAGCATTCTTTCTGGACTCTAAGAAACAGAGAAGCCTTTCAAACACCGTCGGTAGACATATGATCATCTGAGCATGTTGGAGGGATAAATAACTGACCTGAAACCTGTGTACCCAAACAGCACAGCCTGCAGAAATCCTCCCATACCTGTGAGGAAATTCACCGCCCCAGAGCCATCTGATGATTCACTCCATACCTGTGAAGAGAAGTGATGAAGTGTTCACTGAATCATTGTTGGTGTAAGGAGGGCGTGAGTCCCTCTGCATACCTGAAACGGCCCCTGGATGTTCTTGAAGCACTTTTCAAGTAAGCGTTGAGCTTTTTCTGCTTCGCCCAGCTCCAGCCAGCCTATTGCAAACATACCCTGCAGATGGAAAGGAAAATTAATTTGTTCAAAACTTAGGATGCTATGTTGTGTACGTACTTTTCAACATTTACAGCCACAAATTTTAAAGCATTTTATATTGCATGCCAACATCAAGAAATCCATAATTTCTAAGTGGAAAGAAAATTATATACAAATTTCCCAATTGAATTTAGGTTTGATGTTCTTTAGCTAGAACATCAAATAGGACTGGATATATTCCATTTTATTACAGCTCTGGTTGTGTGTTTAGGATCATTAATATGCTTCAAGGATAACCTCCACCAGAGCCTCGGGTTTTTTTCAGGATTGTCCTACATTCACCTCCATCCCTTGTTTCTCCCTGACCTGTCTGAAGTGTTTAACACAGAGTTAAATTGTAGCTAAATTGTTTTTGAAGGTAACTCGTTGAAGAGGATTTTATATATGGGTCTCAGAGTAAACTGGGGTGAACACAAATGGACCTTTTCTCCAAAAAATACCTTTAAGTTTATGGTTGGAAGATGGAAAAATAAGAAAAACTTCAAAAGGTAAGAATGCTTCTCCAAAACACTGTTCATATTTGTAAAGGAGTTTGTAAATGTGCTGAACGTGCAACTCCTTGCGCCAAACTTACCCACGTCATGGCTGGTCCGTTTGGGTCCGTGACCGGCTCGTAGGCTTCCAGATCAGTCCTCCTAATTTCCGGAGGCATCACCAGGCCAAGGGGATACCCCAGCATCACTGTGTCTGCCTGTTTCACCGGCTGACCTGTGTGGCAAACAGCACAAAGTTTGGATGTTTTCTGAATTCTGGATCCTTTTTTTCAGGTTTGGTGTGAGAGAAGCACAGACTTCAACCTTTACTGTAGCCATCAAACTCCGGATGGTACTGCAACTCTTGGTCAAAAGGTATTTCCATACGCTCGGCCACTTCCTGCCATTCTTTTGGAGCCGAGTGTTGGAGAAGATCAGCCAACTCGACAGCAAACTGCAGACTAAGAGAGGAGAAACCACTTTTTCGAATAACATTCATGACCTAATCTGTAATGTAAAGCAATCTTCACATTCTTTGACTGTCCTGCTAAACATGTGAAAAGAAACCCTATTTTTCTGTTGAAGCAAAATCAGTAGAAATAACTTTTCTTGTCAGAAATGTTCAGTTATGAAGATAAACACACATTTGCCCGATTTTTCTTTCCCATTTTGATCTGTTGACTCATTTGCCACATTATATTTATACACAGTGAAACAGCAAGTCGTGGATTACTAAAACGATTCTGATCAAAATAAAGCTTAAATGGCAAACAGGCTTCAGCTACACTTCATGAAGCTTTTACAGGGAAGCCAATCACTGAGGGAATTTTGAATGAAACAAATGTTTCTTATTTTTCCTCATTTTATATTATATATATATATATATATATAGGTCTTTTATAATGTCTAAACTCTCACATAAATACCTGAGTTTGGCCACTGTGTTGGTGTACACTGAGTTGTTGACGTTGTAGTAATATTCATCTGGTGGCATAACACCTAAATGCAAAAAAGAGAAGCATTTTGCAAGTATTCACTAAATGTATTCTAAGTATCTATGACAATTAATTTATGCTAAGCACCTAAAAATGTGATGAGCATATTTTCTATAACATCTTGAATCTATTAATGCATGCAAAATTGTTTTTTCAGTTGCAATTTTTCTAAGTTCTGAAACCTTCCACAAAAATAAAAAAAAGGCACCCAAATACTTAATTTCTGTTTATGGCCATACGTTGATGAGGATTTGTGTTTTTATTTAATAAATAATATTAGTATTAGTAATAGTAATTTTACATAATCTAGATACAAATATTCAATAGTTAAAAAAATCTTATGCAGAATATTAATGGAGAAAAGGGTCAGAAAAATTTAAGGTAATTTGATTTCATTTATGCTTTTTCTTGTAATTCAAATGAATCGTGATGGGTAGCAGTGAACAGGTTCAGTTTGCATTGGATTCTAGTCCAGTCATCATTTAATTCAATGTATTTAGGTTATCATTCAAGTAGATATGCACATTCACAAATTCTTCACCATTAAAGCAATTGGATGATACGACTGGATACACAACAGACTCAGGAACCCGAGTCCTGATTCTTTTAAAGCAACGTTACTCCAAATAATGATTCTAACACAAAATCACCAGGGCTTCTGTAGTTTGGGCCTCTTTAATGCAGCAGGTAGTTTCTTTATTCTTACCCAACAGGTGATATTTCTGATCGTCAGGGTTCCACTTGACCCTGGAAACCCAGTAATCAGCCACCCCAAAAATCACCTCGCTTCCTCTTCCCTCCATGAACATAGACAGATCCTGCAACAAGCAACTTAGTCAACTTCTCAGAGGCAGAAAACGTGATGGGAAGTAGGGTAAGTGGTCGTTACCTCAGTGAGGTAGAGATAGTGTTGGAAGGCCAGTGTAACATCTCCGTTGATGTGAATCTCTTGTTTCCCATAAATGTCATCCGGACACACCTCTCTCCCTGACACTGCACTTTCCCATGGGAACTTCAGCCCCTGGAAGATAGCATCTGTGCTTTAGAAGACTCAGACAATGTTGTTGTTTTTCATTGTTGAAATCTGGAACCTGAACTGCATTTGGCAGGATTCCTTTGCCTAGAAAAGCTTTGATTTCAGCATTTTCCTTGTCTGAAAATGTGTGAAAAAGTCTGACTTTATTGTCTAAATATTGTCTTTCATCTCTTTAATTTTCATTTTTCCAAAACTTGTCCTCCCTTCTCTACTATTTCCTCCTTCCTTCCTCACATCCCTACTTTCTTACCCATTTATCCTTCCATCCTTCTCCATTTCAGCTAAGTCAATAAAAATGTCTCATTGGTTGAATTTTATTTTATATGTTTTAAGTGAGATTTTAAGCAGGGTTTCCCCCTGTATATTATAAGCCTGGGGGCCACCAGGCTTAGCGTTGCTTAATTATTATTTTTTTATGGTTGCATTTTTTTAAGACTTTGTAGTTGGTGTTTAGATATTAATCTTCAATAACACATAATTATCAAGTGATATTTTCAAATTTCTTGTCAACTTTAAACCTTTTTTTAACTCAAAAACACGGCAGGCTGCTGGATGAATGACTGCCAAGTGCGCAACCACCAGGCTTAGCCTTGTTAGTATTTAATCTATTTGTAAACACAAGATCATTTTTTATGATGTCCTAATAATTCTGTATGTACTTTCTTTCCGTTGTGACTATGTAAGGCATACCCAACATGTCTTTAAAATAGTTTACTTCTTAGTTTTGTAACAGACTGGTACTTTAATACATAATGTGTTCAGTGTGTCATGGTTTACTAGATGAAAACAGAATGGAGAGGCACCACCCTCCTGTTGATCAATTTACCTTGTAGCCTTGCTTCTGGGCATTGTCTTTTGCACCGTCTATCGTCCCAACTCTGTACTCCAGCACGGATCGGGCGAGCTTGGGGTAGAACAGGGCAATTCCTGGATACATCCAAACATCCTGTCAGAAAAATAGAGGTATACTGTGTGATGTAGACTGCATAGCAAATAAACAAGCTGCAATCAATATTCTGGAGCCTCACCTGATCCCAAAAAACATGACCCCAGTAATCCTGTCCGTCCCCGCCGTTAGAGAGCCCTCCTGGACTCAACCCACCAAAATAGCTGGAGGTGTCATGGATGGATGGGAAGGCGCTCAGGAGATAAAACATGCAGCCGACAACAGCTTTGCTGAGGGTTTCAGACCCCGTGACCGCCACCTTGCTCTGCAACCACAACTCCTTCCAGGCCTTCTCGTGAGATGGTCGCAGGTTTCCAGTCGCCATCAGGTTCAGGGCCTCGTCGTAGCTGGACTTGGCAGCTTCCAAGCTGTTGGCCACGACCAGGATGAATCCCCAGCGAGCTTTTGTCTGCTCTGGTGGCAGCGACACAGTGGAAGGCACAGGGGTCCAGATCAGGTGGACTGTGGGACAGACCCCGCCTGGGAATTCAGCTTTAGCCGTTTGTCCTTGAATATGCCTGAAGTGTAAAAAATCTTAAACAACTTGAACTTTTTCATATGATTTTACAACTTCAACATATTTTTACTCAAGTAAGAGTAAAATAGAGCAGTTCAAGATATTATTAAAAGTAAAAAAGCATTTGGTGAAAATGTCTTCTCAGTTACTAATTAACTGTTCAAAACATCAATCACCTAATACTTATAATGACATCATCAGATGACCAAAATGTAAAATTATGTAGAAATGTTGGTGTACTAAAGACCAAAATGAAAGCAATTCATAGAAATAATATAATAAAATGACAAAATCAGGCAAAAATGTTTTCCAAACTAATTTATTTCAATATAAAACTTAAGAAACTTTAACAAAAATTGCATTTGCGTCTCTTAATCTAGCAATAGTTTAAAACAAGATTAAAACAAGCTTGTTCTTCCATTCTTCATTCATTGAAGAACAGAAGTAAAAGTAAAAAGTTATATATTTTTCAAAAATACTCCAAAAGGTAAATATTTTTGAAAAGGTTCTTCAAGTAAATGCAACTGAGTAAATTCATCCAAACAGCCACTAATATGGAGTAAAAACATGCTGAAAGCCTCACCTTCCACCTTTGTAGTCAGGAGAAGACTCAAACTGGATGTCTTTGCTCCGAGGGGCGAATGAACTGACCAAATTAACTATAACTGGCTCCTCTGAGGTCACCTGGCGCTCCAACAGAACCTCCATCACCAAGATGTTGGCATAAAAACGGTGACAGTAGAGAGACTGCGAGGCAGTCACACTGGCTGAGCTCAGAGTGTGGGAGAAAATACCTGAAGATGAGAGGAAAACATTAAAAAAAAGAAACTAACAGCATCACTTCCTGCTGTAGAGACTACCTGTGTGGGTGTCCAGGGTGTAGTTGTGCTGGGCAGGTTCCTCTGTCTCAATCTTCACAGCCAGAGGGCAAGGAACGTCAGCTCTGTGGCAATCTCCAGCCTCCCCATTATAAACACCACCCATGTGCATGATGCTGTCGAACACCTTCCAGCCCAGGAGCCCATTTGCAAGAGGAGGCAGGAAACGAGGGTCGCTGGGAAGGGTGTCGGTGGTGAAGACGTAAGGGTCCGAGTCACAAGACATGCTGTGAAGATGATCCTCTCACAGTCACTTAATGAAAGCGATGCAGAATGATTTTATCTAAAGAAACCACAGTCAAAGTCACTATGTGTTAGGGTTAACACCTGTTAAACATACATTAACAAAGACAGAAAAGACAAAAGAGTTAGATTCTTTTTCACTCGCGAGGAGAACGGACAGAGATGTGCTTCAGTTACAATCTCCTACCGCTCTGAAGCACATTTTGTCTGCTCCTCTATTTTATTGTTTCTAGGATCCCTAATCACAAGGACGCTGTAGCTCTAGAGGGAGGGGGCAAACAGCTACAGCGTCAAATGTTATTCACTAACTAACACACAATCATTCTGTACTAGATAATGTCCTTCCAGGCACAAAGATTAATAAAATATGTAGTGATCTTAGCAATGATGGTTTTATTGGAGGCCAGCAACTCAACCGAAGCAGAGCTCTTCACCAAGAGGTAAACCTGCAGGAAGATTTTGTTTCTACTCTCTGTCAGTGAGGCCTTCTGAGAAAGGAATCAAAGTAAATCAACAATACAAGAAACATTCTTAATTCTATAATGAGATTAACTTTAAGGAAAGCATCAATTAAAGATACATTATAAAGATCAATGAGAATAACAAATAATTGATTAATAATATCACAATTTCTCCAACACTATGATTGACATATGAACAGTTAGGTTGAAAAGTATTTACCAACTAACAGGTTTTACATACAGTTTTGTATATAGTTCAGCTTTTTGCAAAAAAAAAAAAAAAAAAGCTGAAATAAAAGGAAAAAGGTCTTCACATAATTTTTGGAAAAGTCATCAGACTCAGTTACACATCCATTGGATTGCAAGTCTGATATTTTTCTTTGTAATAACTTTGTAATTCTCCATAGGTGTGAGTGTGTGCGTGCATGTCTGTCTAACTTCCTCTAGGAATTCTGGGAATGTTCATCAGTGATCCATGTTATCTTCACGCTCTGGTTCCCTGGAGTCCCAAACCCTTAGAAATTACATTTTAAACCTTTCTAAACTGATTAATGCCAGTTACTATTTTTGCTCATCTTACCTAAATGAATTAAATAACGGTTGAATAACTGCTTTTTTTGTATTTTCTCTGTTTATCTTTGCTTACATTTTGTCAAAAGGTTTGAAATGTCCAAGTATTTATTTGCTTCAAGCTCATAAAGCAAGAAGACACCAAATCAATCAGGGGGCGTGAACTTTGACCCGGTCAATATCACAAGATGACCACATGTAAACTTCAGTTATGAGCTTTCATCAATTGCATACAATGAGACGCAGACTAAGCAATAAGCAGAAGTAGGACAAGGTTAAAGAGTATCTGTAAATTAGCTTGAAGACATTCCTCACAGCTCAGTGATCAAACTATTGTAAACACAGTACATCAGCAAAGTTGCATTGTTTCATTTTCACATAAACAGGAAGGATCTGTTTCTAACACAAACAGGAATGCAGATAAAAAAAAATGGTAAAACAACCTGAAGAAGTTCCCGAAACGACTATTCTTTACATGATGAGTTGAAGAATGCTTCCTCTGTGCTCTGATTTCTCTCAGCTTTTACACAGTCACAAAGAAAAGCAGTGCAGAGATGTTCAGAAAGTGGATCCAAGTTTTTGTTTTTTTTTTATCTCTGCAGAAAGAGGAGGCCTCTCTTCTGTTATTGTGCTGCAGGGAAAATCTGGATGTAGTTTTGGTCTGCTGAAAAACCTGGCATGGATTTCACATAGAGGCTAAACATCAGTCCCGACCCGGCTGTGCAGCAAGGATTCAAAAGTTTACATAGATTTTATTCAAGTTTCCTCCTTTCATGGCTTCTCTGGACTTTAATTGTGTCGTGATCTTAAAAGGCTGCTGTCTGTGTGTTTACAGTTTGAGCAGCAGGATGACATAAATTGGCAGAGGCAGCAGAAATACTCTGCAGGTCACACTAAGAGTATTTCTTTTTCATCTCTTCACTCAGTCTGAACTAAATAATCTCTCCTGTCTGCAGCTAATTAGTGGCTTTGAAGGCCTTAATGGCTGCCACTGCTTTGTTTTGTACTCTGTACTAATAGAGTTTGGCAGCCGTAGAGAATGCTTGAGATCTGTCAAGCACACAAAGTTAGAAAAGGGGGTGCTTTCATGTACATCCTGCTATAGGTTTTAATGTTTCCTGCTGATATGACAGAGAATACATGCAAAACCGCAAGTTTTTACCACCAAATAACATCAGAATATCTTGTGCCGACCTGTTTAGCAAACTGCACACATTTAGCTTTATGTCAGAATGAAAAGTGATTTTTCCTGTTATCACCTGTAACCAAACAGTTTCCTATGAGGAACCACAAACTTTCAGCTCCAGTTCAGAAACTATTGTTATCTATTTCCAGGTCTAAGTCTGAACTTAAAGCCCACGGTGACTGAGCTCTTTCTGAGGTGGATCAGAGACTATAAATCTGCACATAAGGAAATTTCTAATTATTCTTAGAGATTCACTGTTATGAACAGACATTTAGCAGACATTTTATCTTACAGCTATAGTTGTTCTTGTATTTTTAATGCTTTTTATAAGTGATTGTAGCGGTGTTAGTTGCATTTATCTTGTAAAGCTTTTTATTCAGTTTGAGTGATAGAAATATTGTCAAATCAGCCAGATTATAGTGCTGCCATAAAGGGTAATTTCTATAAGCATGGTGTACAACGCTATAACACTGCAAAGCAGCTGGAGTGATTTGCAAGTGTCTGCTTGAGGCACTAAAACATAATTCAACTTTGTTTAGATTGGGATTTTATGACTACAGGTCAACCCATCTGTATAAAACTGACAGTCCTAACTATACATCTTCCCAGTTGGCCTGGAGCATTACATTAGCTGAACCTCTTGGTGGCACCAGGGAGCCATTTTGTGCAGCATCTGGCATCATGCCGGCTGTCAGAGCCACAAACCCTGGGAAAAGCAGCGCTTTGTCCATATAAGGCTGCAATCCATCCGCTTCCCTCTTCCTCCCCAGCTCCCTTCCTATGCCTTTCTCAGACCTGAGGGATATTTACAGAGAGCGCGCCTTGGCCGGCCTGCTCTTCCTTTTTAGGAGCTTCGCCTGCTGTCAGATCTCCTACCATCCAGGACAGTGGTCCATCTCTGCTCTGGATGGGCCAAACAGATGGATAACTTGTGTCAGCGCTGGTGCCAAAAGACATCAGGTCTCACGCAGCTTTGCCCCAGATGTGCTCCTCCAGCACACACACACACTCATTCTGTCCCTCAGACTCCCATGATGAATGGTTCACCTGGGAACAGCAGCAGAGTAATGCAACAGTACAGACATGCTGTAAATACATCTGTGTAGCTCCATTTCCTCTTTTAGTCTCAGTTAGTGCTGCAGCTGTTGTCTTCTTTTTTTCCTCCCACAACTGATACAGGCCATCTGTCCACCATACAGAGAACCTCCGCACTACATGCATGGATGATGCGGTAAACCACTGTCAAAAGGAGCAAACTGATAACCAATACACTTTACAAACACATTTCAACAAATTAAAGTTAATTTTAGACATTTAATTTTGAAAAAGCTCAAACATTTAATTGTATATTCAAATTTTGCAATATCTTTTTTAAATGTTTACTTCGCTATTTTTTATGATTTACATCTGAGAACCCGAATAAGTTCTTGGAAATTTTGATTACATAAAATAAGTCAAATTACCCTTTGGCTTTCAAATGTTAGGTTTACTTACTTATTATTAAAAATAGTTTAGCAGACATTTATTTGCAACAAAAAAAACCCCTCTAAACACCACAACACTGTAAACCTGAAAATTGATCTTAAAGTTTGAAATAAAAATTTATAGTGAATCTGAGGCTAACTTTTTTAACTGAATTATTGAAAAAAAATATATTTGATGGTATTTACAGCAATGAAACTATAAAATAACAGACATCTTGCTTTGAATGCAAACATCTGATGGATAAAAGCAACAAACGTGACATGTTCAGAATAACCAAGCAAACTTTGAAAAACATGTTTTTTTTATTATGGTGCAGAGATCCATATTAGAAAACCAAGATGTGAAGCAAGGCTACATGAAATTGTACTTCAAAGGGTAACATTATAGACTTACATTTACATACATAACCATGCTTCTTAGTAAAAGAGGAAGTGAAAATGAAAAAAAAGAGAAAATAATATCAATGGTAACAATTAAAAACCATTCGTAGCATAACAGATCTGGATAAATTAGTCATTTCAGCAACTGTGCAACCTTTGAACTTGAATATTCTCAGGCTGCATCCTCAGTGAGGATGGCTGCTGTGGTTTAAAATCGTCTTTCTAAAGGACCGGGCAAAAGGTCACAGATTTATTTATTCTTATTGCTTTGCAGAGAGTAAAGTGCTGTGGTCCACTGACCTGGTTCACCTTTAAGAGCATGGAGTATGTCTGTGATTACAGAAATAAAACAAAAAGATGTAAGGAAGTGCATAAGTGGAGAGAGGTAGGTGGGTTCAAACACTTGCATGTGGCAGCAAAACAACCCAACAGAGCTTCACCGACGCCCCTCGCCTTCATGGCATGGTTTAATACCAAAATGTAGAGCCTAAGACGTGCCCTGGAGATAAGTGACAGAAGAAGAAAACACCAAAACACTTGGACCTGGTGAGGGGAAACTTTCTCAACTTGTGACGTGAAATGTGTTCACAAAAGAATACATACAAAGTGGATGCTTTAAGAACCAAGCCAGGTGTGCTCAGTGGAACGTGTATCGTGGGAAGGAAGGAAGGAAGGACGCACTCAGTAGGACGGTGTGTGTGCAGGTTCCCTGACGAATAGTCACAGTACGTCGACATGATGGGAAAGCGCGTGCACAGGTCCCTCCTGTGGCAACTGAGCAATAAGGCACTCAAAAGACACTCCAGCTGTTCATGAAGAGGCATCACAATCCAAGTGAAGCTGCAGTGCTCATGTGCGTAGAACTTTCCATTGCTTCTCTCCCCCCCTCACCATTTGGCACTGAGAGGAAAGGAATGTATGAAAGCTGTGGGATGGATGAAAGGAGTGAGGAGGGGAAGAGTTCCCTGGTGGTCATCTCTCTCAGTCTATTTGGAGAGTTTGCTGATGACGCGGATCAGTGCTCCATTTTCATCTTTAAGACGCTGGTTGTCTGCTCTCAAGTCAACCAAAACCTGCAGGTAGAAGTTAAAGCTCACATTAAATCAAGTCCAAACAGGGAGTATGTAGAGTCAAAGTGTGTCACTTGGTATCTTTCACAGCGATTAATCAGACTCACCATCTACTTTACATGAATAATCCCATCTGGTAGAAGTACAAGATAAGGATCGCAGAACTTTGAAACTTTAGTTTTATTAACAACCAATTATTATGTTTGATAAGAGGATATAAAATAACTAATGGTGGACCGATTGCAGTTTCCTGGCTGATCAGCAATCTTTAAAAAGCCTGATCTGCAGATAATGATTTGGCTGATATAATTTTTTTTTGTGTGTGTGTTATAAGGGCGCAATACACCTTTAATGCACCAATCTTCAACATTGTACAATGACAGTGAAATCAGATTACTCAAAATTAAGGAAATTGGGGCCAATCAATCAACCGGTCGATTGATTGATTAAAAATAACAGCCCCATATTAAAGTGAACAGTAAAATAATAAAAAAATATATATATGCAATGTGATGCCCTTATTTTTTTCGGGAGTGTTCTTGAATTTCTTTAAAATCAGAGCACAATGCTAATTTGTAGTTTATTTCATGTGGTCAGCTGGATTCTGCCTATGTATTCTTAAAAGGTAAAAATTATTATTTCATCCAAAGATAAATGAAGCCAAAGCACTCAAAACTATTTAACTCGTGTTTAAATTGATGGCGTTGAACAAGGAACCCTAACCAACAGCCCATTAAACAAAAGACACAAGCCTGTGTTTTGTTATGTACAGCAATTGTACAAGGGAATTAAATACACCTTGTAAGTAACAAGGATTTCCTAGAAACCAGAAGATCAGAAAAACAAAATCACACCAACCCTGGTAGGACAACAGTGTGTATTCCAGCTGATCATACTGTGCTAAGAGCAAACATTTGAATAAACTACCAGAGATCTCCTGTGGCGCTACTTTAGTTTGAACATAATAACTGTGTGTTTCATGAACAAAAATATTTCAAAACAGCCAAATTTATCTTTCCTGTAAGTAAGGAGGAAGTTGTAACTTCCTTTCAGCCAGCTGACCAGGAATTTGCAGGAACAGGCAGGGGAGGGGTGACACTAGAGCTGGACAAATCATTACTATGACATATTGAGCATTTCACCTCGATAACGATAAATGGATGATGACTACTTCACAGCCAGATGTTTCGATGGTATGATTCTGCTGGAGAGGTTTTTTCGCAATAATTTTTATTGTCACTGTAAATGAATTTTAAAACTACAGTGTCTGAAAATAAATAGAAAATGTATACATTTAATTGTTATTGAATAAATAAAGTCAACTGAACAAGTTTAGAGGGATAAAATACTTAACTTCTGATGTCCTTGCTGAACCCAAAATGTTGCGCCTGTACTGAAGCTCTAATGGAAAATGGTTTTGTTGTGTAACAGACTATGAAACAAACACCACAGGAAGCCAGAAATAACTCAAATTGGCTTCGGCTAAGCCACAACATTCAGTCTAGCCACAACATTTCTTAAGAAATAACTTGCATTGTTTTCCCAGTGGTTTTGCTAAACCGTCATGGCTGTCTCAGCATCTCAGCTCAGAAAACAATCAGGTAAAACTGGGTAGGCAGGTGCCAAACACCAACCTTATCACACCACCTGACCACAGTGAGAGGCAGCTCTCTGCAGCGTGCTCCCACAAGCCAAAGCCAGGCCAGTCGAGCAGAGAAGCATGCAAAGTGTCAGCGGTCCTGATAAGTCTCCCTCCAAACCGTTCCTCACCTTTAGCTCCTCCTCCAGCTCTGCCATGCGCTGCTCCAACATCCTCCGGTCCTGGTGTCGGAAAAAAATGTGAGGGGAAGGGAGGGGACAGAGAGGAAGCGACGCAGAGAAGAAGGACAGAAGTTGAGTGAAAACAAGTGAGGAAGTGGTTTAAATGGGGGAAGAGAGGAGAGTGTGTCAAACGGCAGGGGTGGCACTGGTGAGGCACACGAAGCTACAAAAACTACAAAAATACAAACCAAGCAAGAGAAAATATCGGCAGGAAGGATAGGAGTTAGTTTTACCTTTCTCTCTAGGTCCAGTAGTGCTGAACAGTCAGTGAAGCGTTCTTGTCTCTGTTGGGCAAAGAAAATACTTTTTTTAAATCAACAACACCAAAGATTTTTAAGCAATTAGTAAAAAAAAATTAAGTAAATATGTTACCCTCAGTTGTTATAAAAATGCTATAAGTATTTGACTTTGTAATTTAAGTGGGTCTTGTCTATTTAAAAACTCTTGCTCTTTATGAAACTCTGCCTTCAGGAAGTCAATCACAACAGAGCTCCTCTATTAGGCCTTGAACAACTTCTTTTTTTTAAAAAAAAAAATCAGCTTTGCATTGAGAAGTAGCTCAGTGCAATTCCAAAAGTGGTGTCTACTAATTACTGCTGGCTAGTCTGAAGGAGCCGAGTTGTGGGGGAGGGCTGCTCTGTGAGGCGGAAACGTGGAAACTGCAGCTTTGAGGACGAGCTGCGGCTTGAAGGCGGAGCTACGCCCAGCTAGGCGTTTTGCTCAGCTGAATGCTTACCAAGGGAGATTCAAGGATTTCTCAAACATGAAAGCATAAAAGAATCAAGAAAACACTCCAGATATGCTTCTAATGAGGGAATAACTTTACAACATGATGTAAAGCTCAAAATATTTTACATAGTATTGCCCCTTTAAGAAGGGAATTGAACTACTTCATCACCTGCGTTGCCTTCTCCAGCTCCACCCTGGTCTGACTAATGATCCTCTGTGTGTCCTGCAGTTGAGCTTGGAGCTGGCTGTTTTCTCTGGAAACCTCCTCAAATAGCTGTTACACACACACACGCACACACACACACACACACGCACACACACACCCACACACACACAAAGGCAATTAATAATAGAAGTATTACAATGTAGCAAACCAATCAACTCCAGCTGCTGACCTTTTTAAAATCTTTGCTTTCCGATCCTTCTCTCTGGGTGCGGTTGCTATACGAGGTGTCCAACCTTGAACTCATGTCTTTGTCTTTCTGCATACAGAAAAACAAAACAAAAAAAAGGTAAACATGGCTGCTGTATTCATTTAATTATATTTGATTGCGCACATCAAGTACAACCTGTGGATCCAGCCCACTCCCTGAGAACTCCTCCTCTCCACTGGGCTCAATGTCTTCACCCTGAAGGAGACAGATGGTATAAAACCAGCTTTTAGCTGCTCCAATCCTGCAGCAGTTTTCTCCATGAAAACGGTTTTGTGTTTACCTCCCCGGTTCTCTGTGCCTTCCTCCTGGCTCGGGCCTGCCTCCTCTCTCTGCGCTCTCTGGCCCATTTTTCTGTATCGCTCTCTCCTGTGATGGACTCAACATCTGAGCAGAAACACACAGCATGTCAGATGTGAAAAAGAAAAGAGAAGAATCTAGGCTAAAAAAAAAATTATATCAAGTGAACTTTTTTCACTTGAGAACCCAAAACTTTTATGTGTTTTATTGGGATTTTATGTAACAAAGAAACACAAATTGGTGTGTAACTGGGAAGTAGAACAAAAAGCACACAAGTACATTAGAAATAAGCTAAAATTAAAACAAAAACTAGTTGGAAAACATTTGAGAACACTAATTTTCAAGTCCTGCATAAGATTCTACATTGCCTTTGTGTCTGGACTTTAACTAGGCCATTCTTATGCTTGCAGCTCTGCTTTTAAGTTTAGGGTTCTTATCCTTTTGGAAAGCAAAGTCCCAATTCAGTCTCAAGTGTTTTGAAGCCTCTAAAAAGCTGTTTCGAGCATTGCCCTCCAGTTAGCTCAGTTATGCCATCAACTCTTACCAGCTCTTCTGTCCATGCAGTAGAAAAGCGTTCTTCCAGTATGATTCTAGTTTTCCACAGCAGGTAAGTAGGCCAAAAAGTTTTCATTTTGGGCTCCTCTGACCAAAGAGCTTTCTTCCACATGTTTGCTGTGTCCCTAAACAAAACTCGTGGCCAACTTTAACTGGGACGTCTGATGTCTTTCTTTCTTTCCTTCACATCTTTTTTGCCATTAATCCATAAATGCCAGATTTGTCAATGGCAAAACTAATAGTGCGTTGTTGACAGATTCTCCCTGCCTGAGCTGTGGAGCCTGTAGCGCCTCTGGAGTTAAATTCTGCATTTTCACTTCTTCTATGAATAACATAAATTAATTTCAATGGAATGAAAATAAAGAATAAATCCTGGAGAGAAAATGGGCTGAAAAATTACTTTTTATTTGTCATTATTTTCCTTCCACTTCAAAATTATATTCTTTCTGTTGGTCTATCATATGAAATACCAATAAAATGTATTAAACTTTGTGAATGTAAGATGCTTTTGGAAGGCAGTGACAACCTTTTCTTTCAGACGCCGGAGGACGAGCTGAGCCTGCAGGCTGAGTGAGACCGAGCAGGTCCGACTTCTGCAGGCTGGCAATACGAGATCTCCAGCTCACTTCCTGTAAATGCATCATTTTAGTGTTGCAAGATTACAAAAACATGAACGGCAGAGCCAAACCGGTCTGTAACCATTTCAGAGGGCATTTACCCCTTCATCTGCCTTCTTTTGTTTGGCTTCCTTCTCTTTCTCTTCTTCCTCATTCTTTTCTCTTCCTTTGTTGTCAGTCTTCATGGTTTTAATTGTCTTCTCTGCCTCCTGCAAATCTGTTAGCGTAACTCCCTTTGAATAAAAGAAAACAATGATGAAGCAAACACAAACGGCGCAGCCAAGGTTCAAAAGCAGAGAACAGGTGAGGAGGTAAATCCTGACCTGGGTGGAGCGCCGGGATTGCCGCGCATGCCGGGAGCGGGCTTTTCTCTGCGCTTCCGCTTCCTCGTCTCGTACAGGTGTCAGATACGACCTTTGTGATCAGAATCACTGTCAGTGACAAAGCCAGATCACCGTCTTTGTTTGGTTAGAAGTTTTGTTCTTACTTGCGCCTCTGTTTGCTCTCCTGTTCGCTTGTCGTCGTGCCTTGAGAAATTGAGGTGATGGTGGACGGTGGTTCCTTCTTTTCCGTCTGTTCCTGAGGAGTTCTTTGGGAAAATGTTTTAAGGTATTTATGTTCAAAATTAGGTAAGAAACACACATCTGGTCATATTTTTCACCCATCAAACCCTCAAATATTGAAAGTAGGGATTATAAATAAATCTAACGTGGCCTTTATATTATTCTTAAAAGCAGATTAGTAATTCCAATTCCATTTTGGCAACAAAAAGTCCTCATAACCACTCTTTGTAATAATGCATAGTCATCACCTTGATTGGATGATGATTTGACATCTTCGTTTGCAGTTTTTATTTTACATAAACAACACTATTGTTTTTTAGCAAAAAAAGGTTTCCATTGACTGTCTGGTCAATACTTGATGACTTTTCCTACGAAAGCCATTCATTTAGAAAACCTGTGAGCGCCATGAAAATGAAATGGGTGAAGATTTCCTCTTACCCACCAAACGGCCTCTCTGCTATAAACAACTTTTGCTCTAGAATCATAAAAAATTGGAATCCTGGAAAGAGGGAAAGAACAACCCAAAGCTGAGGGAATAGTAAATAAAGCGTCTCTTGCTGCAGCTACTACAGATTGCTTGAGCAGCATGTAACCAGCCTGAACCCCAGTACAAGCTGTTGTTTATAATCATAAGAAAATATATTTCCCCGCCACTCTTTTTTCCCTCCTGTGTGAAATATCTGCTTATTTCCACAGATTTCATTAAATGAATAACGACTCTCTTTAAACAATCTTCCAACATAATTAGCTTCTAAATACAGTGTTTTTTCCCCTCCCTGTCTGAGCCAAAGTACCCTTGCTATTGCCTTTCTAAGCGATTCTGCCCGATTCTCATCTATCTTCTCTGCTTCGTTTGCAAATTTTCCCATAGAGCTGGATTTCTCCAGTAGACCTGGAGTGTTGAAGTCTAAAGAAGCGGTTACTTGTTTTACAGTCATCTGAAGTCATCTCTGTGGTTTCCACCTATTGCCCTTAATAAGCTAAAGTACCTTTCTTATGGAAGGTTTGGCCCATGATTGGACAAAATGGGCCAATCAGCAAACAGAAAGATGGATTGTAAACAATGACGTCAATTTTCTGTGCTGTTTTAGAAATGTAGTCCATCTATGTTTGTAGTTGCAGCAGAGGAAGTCAATGTAGCCTTTCAGACAGTGTTGACCACACTTCAAAATATAGTGCCATTTAAGTCAGAGACAGAGGAATGTATAAGACATTTTATCGCTGGCAAGAATGTGGTTCGGCTCAGCACTTGGGGATTGGTTGTTTATAGCATGCGCTATTTCTGGTAAGCTTCATAGCATAACTTCTTTTGCAGTCGTTATAGCCAAACGTCAGCAGTTGGGTAAATTAAGATCCAATCATTTAAAACTTCAACAGAGTGCAAGCCCCCAGGAAGCCATCATTTCCTAACAGCCGAGGTTCATGGTGGATGAAGCGGAGAATACAAAAAGGGCTGTTTTTTAAACTAGTCTAGAGCCCAATAAAGGAGAGAGAACTCAGACTGTTGGTAGCATTGGAATATAGTGACCTATGAAGAAACCAACAATAGAGTTCAAGCAGTGTAACGGATGGTGTCCTGTGAATAATGTTTTGCCAGAAACATTACTGTGGTGCAATTAAATATAGGTTAATTGTGTAGACAAAAGTGAGACCAACACAATCACAACAAAGTAGGTTAATATAAAGTAGGCCGTTGACACACTTGTTGGGTGGAAAATGCTGCAGCATGTCTGCAGCATTTTTCACAGATTTTATAAACATTTTAGAAAAATATGCTAACCACCATTAAACATGTCTTTACTTCTATGTTAAAGGAAATCATCGGGGAAAGTGAGATTTCAAGTGTTCCTTCAGAGAAGGTATTGTAGAAAACTCTTTGTAGCACACATGGCAGTGGAGAGGTAGTTTCAACAATTCACTGGAACCTTCTTTAACAGTGACTTTTCCACTTGTTTCAAGCATTTGAATGACATAATCAGAATCAATGAAGTACTCTTCTTGTTTTAAATTGCCTACTTGTTTTAAATTGCTCACCGGTCTGCGTATCGGTGCATGAATGTGTGTGCGTTTGTGAGTGCGAATGGGTGAATGTGACTCGAGTGTAAAGCACTTTGAGCGATCAAAATGACTGGAAAAGCGCTATATAAGTTCAGTCCATTTACCATTCACATCAGAGTAATGATGGTGGTCAGAACTGGAGCAGAAACTGCAATGACTTTTTAAATGCTAACAAATTTCAAGCAATTTGAATATTGTGATTTCATTTACAGGCGGACTAAGAATCAGGTACCAGTTTTTAAGGTCTCCAAAGTACTACCATCAAATACATTTGACTTTCTCCTTCCTGGATAAATAGGCAAATCCATTTTCATTTTAGTCTGAAGACTTAGATGTGGGTATCCCTAACTTTGCCTCGAGTGGACAAAATGTTATTTATTGATGCTTTAGCCAGGCTTTCCAAATGTAACATTATCACTCTTCAGTAACTTTTAACTTATTTTTTGTGGGTTTTGACTTCTCTTTTTAAATATTTCTGATATTAGGCAGAGAAGTGAAGATAGTACTTTGTGGCTAGAAGTCTAAAAAAGAAAAACTTAATATATCTGCAATTTTAAGGTAAAATACCTCTGAGCTAAAAGACTATTAAGGCGGCTGAGAACAGCAGAGCTTGTTCCTGTACTCGATGAGGTCACGTTGGCGTCATCCAGTCTCTTTACATAAGACGAGCTAATAAAAGAACAAAATAGGAAAGGTAAACAAAAGCAGATATTTCACTGTAACTTTTAAACATATATTAGTATTTGCAGCTACAGAGGGAAGGATGGGAGGGTGGGGTTGCTGTTGTGAGCTGTGACAATGCAAGCACACAAACACTTAAATGGCAGAGCAAACACATACGAAACAGGTGGTGAGCAGCGTGACTGACCTGTGCAGCAAAGATGGTGTGGAGCTAGTGAACTCATTCCCTAATTGACTATGAAGTCGTCGAGTGTACGACGAGCTACGGCTTAGCCAACTGAGAGAAAAGGGAGACAGAGTGACAGGGACACATACGCAGTGACTTCAATTCTGCTTCTCTACGTTGGGCCATTAAATCCCACCTGTTGAAGCTGTCAGAGCTGTTATCTGGAATACTGAATAGTCTCCGTGTCGGAGTTGGCGGCACTCGAGCGAGCCTTGGCTCCTGGGAAAATGAAAGAGGGAGACTTTAGTCTGTTTATCAGTTATTTATGCAGCTCAGTGAGAAGAAGCTCTAAACGACGCCTTTATTTGGCTCGTCATGTTCTTGTTAAAGGCAAAATAACCGCAATACTGTCATGGGCGCATAAATTTTGGAAACGATTGCGTACCTTGGTGTCAGCGTCAGAGCTAAGGCGGGGGCTGGAGGCGGAGCGGCTCATTCCGAGTCCAGACTCTGTGACTCTGCTCGGGTCCTGGACGGAGTCCGAGAGCCCAGCTGAGCCCAGAGTCACAGAGCTGCCCGCTTTCCTCAGGGACGTTCTCCATGAGCCGGGGGACTCTGTGGCTGGAGGCTTGCTTGGTTCCTGCCACATGTGCAAAAGACTTGGGTTACAAAACTCTGTAAAGCACAATAAGCACCTGGTATCCATGCAACATCTCTAAAAGCTACCTTCTTTAGCTGGCCTGCAGTGGTAGTCGCTGACATGGAGGTAGAAAGCGCACTGGTGGTATTTCGTTTGTTGTTCAAGTTGTTTATGATTTCTCTGTTTTTTGCTTTCTCTGCAACGGTTAAAACATTATGCAGGTCAGAAATCCTCCATACGGCTTCACAGAGACACTGTCAAAACAAAACACAGCAGCTTCTCCCGTCTCTTTCCTCTCACCTGACTCCGTGTCACTCTCAGACTCGCTCTCCTCCTCTGAGCTGGAGCTGCTGGAGGCTTTCGCCTGGCTCTGCCCCGTTTGGCCTTCCTCCTCCTCGTCCTCGGCCGGACTGCTCGGCAAGGCGGGAGGCGGGTGCTTCTCCCGCTCATGAAGGCATATCTTGTCCCTGCTGCTCATGCGGGAGATAGAGGTCCTGCGGTGCAGAGGGGGTGGAGGGGCGGAGCCCGAGTCGGGGAGGGACGACAGGTGGCATGCAGGGAGCTGATCAGTGAGGGCGACCGTACAACGTGCAGCCAATTAAAGCGAGCAAGCAAGCGTCAGTCGGCACATCAACAGGTAGTACCGCTGGACTCTTTTGGTAGTGCATTGTTTTTGAGTTGTCACCAGATTTCTAATTGCATCTTCAATTTACAATTTCTTTTGCTTCAATTTGTTTTTTTAAATAAAGCAAAAAGGCACTAACTCAAATGAAAAAACAATGCCTGATCTCAGTGTCATGTTAGCCACTTATGATCAACTAAAGTATTAAATTTTTTACATTTCGTCATTGTAGAGCTACGAGTCTTTCCAGAAAAGTATCCCCACAGCATGATGCTGCCGCCAGTTTCCTCTAATGCGAGTGATTGATTTAGTCTTTATTGTGACAGGCCTATGTACAATCTAACCTGGCTGCTTCCACATGTTAAACCTTAACCTGCACATTTCAGCAACAAGGCAGCTTCTCGCCATAAAACCGTTATAAATATTCACAGGAAAAATGAATAAGAATAAGAAATTTACCTTAACCTTACACAACAACTTTGTGCTGGTCTATCACCTGAAACACATTACAGGTTGTGTTCGTAACAGGACAAAATGGTTTGCATAGAGTTTTAGTACAGAGTTTTGTAGAAATAAAACTAAATGCTTTCAGTTTTATGACTTTCAAAGCAATAATTATTGGTAATTACTGGTTGTTAATAGTTGTAGTAAATAAGCTGCTCTCAGGAAGGCTCAGAATGTTAATTTAAATCATTTAAAAAAATGATTTAATCCCTTTTTCTCAACTGAGTCATGTTATTCATAAAGCCGTATAATTAGCATGATTGAAGTTATACTAAGTTAAAACTAAAGAACACTGTGTGCAGCTATAACGTTATAAACAGCAGGCTCTGAGAGGGTGCTTAGTGGTTTTTGGAAAACAGACAAATAATCCCTGTCCAGATTTAAAACACTGATGTAGAGAAAAGTCTAAGAGCCACAAATACTGACAGGAAAGTGGGATGCGCCCTGATCTTATGTAATGGTCACTGAAACGCATTATTCAAAGCATTTCATGTACTGTATGTTGTCATTGCCTAAAGGGCATTGCAAAGCATTAAGACTTTTAAATGGCAACATTTTCAGTATTTAAGACTTTATAGTAGTAGCTTCCATTACTTCTTTCTGACTGCATGTCATGTGGCATGACTATGTTCACTGACACTAGTCAAAAGTGACTAATAGCTATGTGGAAGTACAATGCATTATGTCCAATCACTTAAGCTAAAAGAAACCAAAGAAAGTCAATCATGATGCTTGAATTATTTGGAATTATTAGCGCACTGAGCTGCAGGAAAATAATGTCTCTTACTTTGAAACAAACCACAGTTCTGTGGTTAAACAGAATATAGACCAATCATGTTTTCCATTTCCCTTCATAAAATGTAATTGCTAACCTCAGAAATTAACATTAAACTTGAGATTTTCAAAAAAAATTCACTCTTTTTAAAACTTACATTTGTGAAATCTATTTTTGAGCTATTTTTCTTTACAAAGCATTTCTTTAGAATTGTAAAATATTTACTATGGAGCTTGAGAAACCACTCACTTGACATATAAATAGATGGATCGACAGATAAAAGAATAAAGGGAAGATGGACAAAGTCAAGGATGAATCAACAAACAAAAGGATGAGTGGACAAAAAAATATATGGGCAAAAGGATGGATGAATGGACAGACAGAGGGACAGAGTGAGGGATCAGTAAATACAGACAAACGAATAGATGGATGGATGGATGGATAGATGGATGGATGGATGGATGGATGGATGGATGGATGGATGGATGGATGGATGGATGGATGGATGGATGGATGGATGGATGGATGGATGGATGGATGGATGGATGGATGGATGGTAGAAGAACATACTGATTGACAAAAGGCTGGATGAATGAAAAGATGTATGAGGAAATGGGCAAAAGCATGAACGGATGAGAAAATGGATTGGAGGAAAGACGTTTGGCCAGACAAAATAGACCAATTGATGGACAAAAGGATGTAAAGACCAATGGTTGGGAAAATAAATGGAAAAATGGATGGCCGTGCCAGTGGACAGAGAAAAGAATGGATGGATAGATAAAGACAGATATGGGTGAAGGAACCGATAAATATATGAATATAGATCAATGGACGCACAGACAGACAGATGGACTATTTTTTAAGATTCAGATCTGCAATCTGTCAAGCAGAGTCTCTGACAGGGAGTCCAGATTCAACTTCTGATCCACAATTATCCATATCTGGAAAATACATAAATTGTCTAATTCCCCCAGATTACACTGAAACCCAGTAAATCAGACTAACAGCACAAAGCGTCCTCTGCCTCTTAAAGGTTTGATCTGCAGCTTCGTCCACGACTGCACAGACAGTTCTCAGTACAGGCATCGAAAAGGAGAAAAGCCAGAAGCTTCTGACAGCAATAAGTAGCCACTTTAAAACTGCTGATCTAACACCGATAAAAAAAGAAATGTACCAGATGTTTTACTTAGAAAGTACTTCATACAAAGGTCCTGATTACTTCTACACAAACGAACTTGAAACAGCTATTCAGAATGTTTATGACAGATGAAGGACTTTCCACAATAAAAAGATCAGAACTGCCATTATTTATGTCCAATTTTCCATTTACCTTCTACAAAATCATGTTATAAACTGATTTTTTTTCTTAACTTCTAACTGGCTTAATCCTAAATTACAAATTGAGACCAGTAAGTATGCAGTATGACACTAAGACAGACAAAGTCACTTCAGCAGTACATCAGCTCACAGGTACGCTTGGACCGTTAAAATCAGACTTGCGTGCATGCAGACAACTGGTACTGGGCTTTATGGGATTCAGCTAAGGAAGGGCAAAGTGTGTACCAACAACACACACATATAGTGGCACTAACCTGCGAGTGCGGACTGGTACCATGGAGATAGGTTGATTAGTCTCAATAACAGGATTCTGTTTCTGTTTCTCGCTGCGTAACTGAAGAGGAATATAAACAGACAGACTTTAAACACAGAGAACATTCTGTGCCGCAGCACCATCAATCAGATGGAGTTTATCTGAGCGGGTGATAATAGCTGCAGAGCTCGTTTGAAGGCAGACTTACAGCGTTCTGTTTCTTCTGCAGCTCCTCCAGGGTGTCCACGAGGTTCTCGTCTGCAACATCAAGAGGCGTTTGACCCTATAAGGAAATTAAGCCATGTTTTATCAGCTGCAACCGACGATAAAGCTTCAGCGGCTGATTTAGGAGTGAGCAAAGGTCATTTCAGTCGGCCTCACCACGTTGTTGACGGCGGCCATATCGCACATGTGGTCAACGAGCAGGGTGCACACCTCCTCCTGTCCCCAGTGAGCTGCTGCATGCAGAGGCGTCCACCCGTCTATGTCCCTACAGTCCACATCTACCCTGCACTGTAGCAGTACCCTGAGAAGGTGAGGAAGAACAGGGGGGTGGGGGAGCAGTCATGACCATGAATAAAAGACAAAAACAAAACAAGACAAAAAGTCTGTCATTTGTCTTCTTACTTGAGGACTTCGATGTAACCTTTGGCTGCGGCGACGTGCAGAGCTGTAGCCTTGGTGTTGGGGTGAGGCGTCAGGGAGCCGCCTCCTTCCAGCAGCGCCGTGGCGTCCTGCAGCATGATCCTCTCCTCCTCCTTCCGGGCTTTATCCACATCTATCCCTGTGAGGCGGATGTGAACAACGTGGGAAATCTGTTTTTTTTTTTTTTTTTTATATGCATTTAACTAAAATCGTTTCCAGAATGAAACCATAAAACATTCCAAAGGGAGATTGGACTTGGACTTTTACAGACCTTGATATCGAAATATGATGCATATCTTTTGTAGTTGAGACACAACAGTTCAAATAGAGGTGAAAGTCATGAAGGAAAAAAAGTCTGAAAAATGTGAGTTTATTCAGTATTGACAATATTCAGATGCTTTTCTGCTATCACAGAGCTCTCGTTTATATTTGCATATTTTTATTTATTTATGTGAACTATGATAAAACAAACTGAATTACTTTTGATCAACTTGTGGCAAACTTTTACTTCTTTAATTAATCTACATTTATCCTCAAAATACTTCAACACTGTTCAACTCACAATATTTGAGATGCAATGATAACTTGGCTCGTGACCAGGATTGGTCAAAAAGTTTCAAATGTAATCATTTCCTAGTGACTGAACATACATGTTCATAGATGTCACTGAGGGAAGAACACTCAAAATTACCTGCTAGAAAAATGAAGACAGAGGAAGATGTAATTACATCAGAGGAAGACATAATTAAACACTGAAAAGCTTCAAATAAAGCAATGGGAGTAAAGTGGATCTCTGATTATGATTCACTTTAGGTTCAGAGTGAGCTCCATGACTCAGCAGGGCACCTTTGATGGTGATGTGTTAATGAGCTCACCTTGTTTTTTGATTTCAGCTCTGAGAAGCCTCTCCATTACGTCTTCGTTGGCCACATCCAGAGGAAGCTCTCCTTCGCTGTTGACAGCCCCAACATTAGCACCGTGCTCTATCAGGTACCTTCAAAACAAAGAGATGGTCCGCTAGCAGTTAGAAAAAAATGTAAATACATTAATCTATAATTTACATACTGAAAAAATGTTGATCTGAAACAAAACACAGAGTCTGCAGTAGCCAGGATGATGACAGTGAGGAGGACTCACTTGGTGATCTGGATGAAGCCGCAGGAAGCTGCTGCGTGCAGAGGAGTCCAGCCCTCATTGTCCCCTCTGTTGACGTCGCTCCCGTTTTCCACTAGAAACTGCACCATCTCTGCGTTTTCATCAATGCATGCCTGACAGGAGACAAAGAAACACATCAAAATCACTGTGTTTGATATGTTTAGTTTGATTCATAAAACTTCTGAAGCTGAGAACTCAAACGGATAATGCAGATGTTTGTTTCAGAGGGTCTCCAACTCATTAAAAATCAGTTTACATTTTCAGTGAGAAAAGGGGAAAACTCCAGACATTTCCAAAATCTATTAAACCCAACTAAAGCAGCAGAGCTAAAACAATGACCACACTGTATACTTGCTGTAATGACTTTCTGCTAAGTGGGCTGCTAAAAGCCCTCAAGTAGTTTCTAAAACCGTCAATTTTGTTCCATGAATGAAACAGTGGATGTGTCTGGCATCTTTTCCTGGGGAGAAGTCTATTAAAGATCTCAATGTGACCCAACCAAAGTCCCGAGTTAATCGCGTGTGAATCTCATGGGATTATTTTATGCTTTTTAATATTTATGAATAAAATCACAGATTTACCTATTGTGAAACAATTTGCTTTGTATTAGTCTGTTAGAAGTTGCACACTTAAAGAAAATAAGTAAAGGAAATGCAAACGTGCATAAAATGCTTGAAAAATTACTGTTACCCTAATTGAAACAGATCAATGCGCTGAACTAGTTACAGTCCTGCGTATTTGTATTACAGGTATTTGCCAACATTTATATTTATTTTTGCTTTCTATAAAGCTTAAATGCTTAAGAACTTCAAACCAATTTGGTATAAGATAAAGAGAACCGGATAATTGTAAAATATAATTTCCAAATGTTGATTTTACTTATTAAGGAACAAAAAGAAAGCAATTACTACTTAAAATTTTTAACTTTGGTTCAATTTTACACAGGATTTCTAATATATGTGAATTTCTCCACCTTAAACATTTAAACATGACAAAAAAAAAAAGACAAGAAATTTACAAGTGGGAAATACTTTCAGACCATTTTGTAAACATTCCCATAAAATGAAATGAAACAGAAATGTTAATTGCTTTTCGCACTTCTTTATGCATGAAGACACAGCTACGTCTATATTCATACTTCTGGAAAACCTGACAATCAAGCCAGGCAGGATTCTTGGTGCAAGAAGATAACGTGGATCATAATACTAAAGAGTACTTTAAGACTCTGGTTATTACATTTTCCTTGCGCTTATCGTATGTTTTATTGTGTCCTTTTGTAGTCCAACATTTCTCTGATTAAAACACGGCGGGAGAGAACAAATGCATGACAGAAAGTGTCCAACAAAGATATACTTGTTGGATCCTTAACAGAGATCAGTGCAATGAAATTGAAAATGTGCATTATTTTGATTTAAACTTTGTAAAACATTTTATTTCTTGCTTTGCTGTTGTTAGCCATTGCCAGCGAGCTGGAAAACTGCTTTTGTATATCCAATTTCTATTATTTTCTTTTTTAAAAAACATCACTTTTCCTCCTGTACATAGCCTGTAAATATGTATTACAGAGTGTGCACATTTATTTCAATAACAATATAAGTGTTTTTCGCCCATTACAATGACATTCCCAGTGAACAAGAGACTGTACTGGCTGCTGCAGTCTCCTGTCCAACTATAACATTTAGAGGAAAGTTTATATAATGCATGCTAGTGCTAGTCTCCATTTAAACAAATTGCTCTGGGTGAAAACATTGTCCAGGAGGAAAAAATTCAAACAGAGCGATACTATTCATCTATATTCAGATAGTTCCCATTTTACCTTGAGCACATAAACCTGTGTGTCACCCATTTATCAAGAGAAAAAAAAGATTTGCTTTAACTTTTAACTGTGTACACTGTGGTCCAATCGGAAAAAAACAGAGAAAATTTTATTTGACAAAGTTTTAAAGTTCAGAGTTATTTGATTAAACAAAAAATATAATAACAAATTACTAAATGGGCAAATTAGCTAATAGATATTTTGTTGAATTACTGCACTCGTAAATAATGAGTGTTTAAGGTGGAGTTGTGGCCAAACATGACCATTTGGAGCATTTTTCCATCATTAATCTCTGATGACGTAAATGAGCAATCATGAAATATAATCTACCAGAGGTCACATGGTTGAAGTTGGCTTCCTCTGCTCAGGCTGTTGGATGCAGCGGTTGATCTGCGAGCCACACCTACATGCTGCACTGAATGCCTCACCAGGTGACAAATATTACACACCTAGTTTCACATCATGTAATGTAAAAAAACAGGATTCTTCTTCCACTGAATTGTGCTCTAACTTTTAGTTTGGACTTATTTTTCCATAAAAAATTTGAAAAAAACATACAATGTAGTGCTTTTCTGTGGAACCTTTCCAATAAAACCATCACAAACCTTTCCATTGTACAAAAGCTACCTCTTTTGTTGGCCAACTTGGACGTGCCTTTAGTCCACAAAAGCATCACAATTCGTTTTGTTGGAAAGAGGATATTTGAGACAGGAAGTTTCCTACAAACTCTGGGCTGCTACCCAATCCTATCACAGTGTGGCTCCTTTCAGGTCCAATCCAATATTTACATGTGACATTTTCTCCTGCTTTTAGCAACTGAGTGCAAGTATCTCTACAGAAAGCTGCAGACTGTTTCACACCCACTGCCTTCAGCACTTGCAGCACTGTATAGCCATTAGCAAGAAAATCAAGATTTGTTACTTCTTCTCACAGCGCTCCTAATGCTTTTGCCAACTGAGTACACCTGAGGCAGTTCTTGATTTTCCAAAAAAGGGGCCCATACTTAGTTCTTTCTCTCCGACTGGTTGTATATGTATCCAAATGTATTGACACAAAAAGTGGCAAACAGCTGAATAGAAAGACCAGATTAAGGCGTTTTAATGTCAGTCAGCTGTGTTTTTGTCTTAGCAATGAGTCAGAAATTGGCACTACAAAAGGTTTCAACCAGCCCCAGGAACAAGAACTCTGTCATCGCATAGAAATAAAATCATAGATGAGACAGCCTCCTTGAAGCGCCTTGCAAAAATATTCACTTTCCTTAAACCTTTTTTTTCTGTTTTTCACCTCAAAATAAAATATACAGGAATAATTTAAAGACATCTTATCACAATAACGTCCACTAGTTGGTAAATTAATTGATGAGAAAGAGTATGAGACCTGCAAATTAGGGCTGCAGCTAAATGATTTTAGCATTGATTTTTCTGTCAATTATTCTTACGATTAATTGGATTTAAAAAGTGGCATAGTCTCCAGATTTTCCCATTTGACCACTTAAGCCTATTTATGCAATATTAGATACATGAAAGATACAAATGAAAAAATCTAATTCCTTTTTTAAATAAGAAAATAAACATTTTACTGCCTGAGCTGAAATAAGACAGCGTATGCTTGATCATTTGCAGTGAAAAAAAAACATACTAACAACAAAGTGAAAACCTTAACCCTTTCTGCTTGTCCTAACAGTGTAGGGATGATCTGTTCACTATTGTTTGGGATTTACAAGTTAATAAAATCACAGGAGTAGGTGCTCAAGTGAAGGTGAAGTTAAAATTAAACCACCTGAGGAGTTCGGGGTAGAATACATTCACTGACAATGTTTTTTTTTTATCATTAAGGCAAAATGTGTACATTTTTGCACAGATTTCTCTTAATTACTGCTTTGAAGATGTTGTTCTTTCAACAACTGGCCTTTTCCAATTGTCTATACTCTAGTTAACAATCTATCACTAAATTAGTTGATGATTATTTCAATAATTGATATATCAAGATTAATACCTTTACAGACCAGTGGAAGGAAGGAAGAAACGTGTTGCAGAGAGAAACCCCATGAAAATCTGTGAAGGAATAACACTTCACATCATCCCAACATGCTGTGGGGAAACTTTTCTTCAGCAAAAACAGTGAAGATGGCCAAAGCTGATGATGGAACAAAACGGTTCACAATCCTAATGCTGAGCAGGAGCTTCACTCTGCAGCAGAACAATGATGCAAAAACAATTAATGGCTTACCAGTAATACCTGAATCTACCTGGGAATTTGTCAGAAATTACTCAACATCTTTTTTTTATGACAATTAATCCTTTTGCAATTTCAAACAAACAAACACTAAAATGAATAAAAGAGTGAAAGATAGTTATTTTCATAAGAAACATACTTATGTCATTACAAAAACTGGAGATGAGTCTAGGTTTGTCACAATCATACATTTTACTGAACGATAAATTATCCCAGAAATTATTGCAATAAACAATAATATTGTTTTTTTTAGATAATTTTCAAATAATATATTGATTTTAGCATAATAATGCAAGTGCAAGAAACTAATACACCTTAATTTTGCACAGAACAGCCAACACTGCAATAGGAAGTTATATTAAATGTCCAAAACAAAAGGCAACAACTTAAAGCAATGAATTAAGATAAAATAAAAACCACTTTCAACCAAAACCATAAACAAAATTGATAATAAGACTCTTAGCAAAATTGGCCTTCAAAAGATAATCATCAGAATGAAATTTATGAGGCTCATTTTAATCCATCATGCGATTAATTGATTAACTGCTCATTGCAACAGGATTAGGTAAATCTTATTTAATTTGTTGACTGATCCTTGTAGCACTGACCACCCAGGAAGTTGTGACCGCTCTGGTCTTCGCACCCCACAGATGCATTCTCAAAGTTTTCTAAGCCCATACATAGGCTGCTCTGCTTAAAAATAGCTTGATATCACAAAACGAAACAAAAACAGTGAAGACACGAGGACGCTGTTAGTCTTGCAAATGTTCACTCCTGAACAAATGACATTTTGATCTTCTCCCAGCATCAGATGATAAGTTACGAGATCTCAAAGGTGATTACAATTAATCGTCATGACAACAGAGATGTCTGCAGTAAGTTTTAACATGATAAATATAGAAGTCAAGACTTTTAACTGAAAACCACACATATCAAGCAGTGGCCTGAGAAAAGAATAGGAATCATCTTCTGGGGACATTTTCTGGCAGTTGCTGCTGAGAAACTTCCTCTTTCTCTTTATTTATTTGGATGTGGATAACAGAATGTGCTAACCTGAAGTAAATGCCGTCACATCAAGATCAGTAATTACAACTCCTCAACCTGAGTTGAGCGTAATGAGAATGTTTACATGATGCTAAAGCCTCACACAGAGCCGTTCCCCTCCAGGAGTGACTTAAGCTACCTAAGAGGCTCTTCTTTTGGTCTAAATCAACTGATCGCAAAGCTACTTTCGTTCCTCGCAATATGAGACAATTAGTGGGAAGCCAGGTTGGGGGGATAGAAATTTGCTTGTTGTAAGAACAGAAGATGACGCTTGCAAGCGATGTGTGCCTGTTTGGTGGGAGGGTATCGGAACAAGTAGCTGAATGAAAGAACAGAGGGCACTTCTTGCCCCTCTGAAGGCTTCAGAGGTGAGCGCAGACCCTCCACGCAGAGTCTTTCTCCAAGTCATCAAGTGACTCATTGTGGAAATCGCCTTTGACAGCAGCAGCTTGTGCTGTTTGAGGAATGTTTTCCATTTCTTCATCTGAAATCCCCGAAGTCCCTTCCACAGGGTACTGGCAGAGAGGAAGGAGGAAGAGAAAAAGCGAGCGAGGCAGTCGGAGGAGGAGGAGGAGAAAGACAGCGTTGTGGAGAAAGTCTTTGGTTGGTGGGGACGGAAAATTTGGAAAGAGTGGGCCTATATTTGATTCAAGTAGCCAGGCAACAGATGAGCAACAGGGGAGGAACTGGATGGAGGGATGTATAAAAACCTCACTTGGGTACCACCTGGGGATCAAACTAAAACAGGAACACTTTACACAACTTTTATCTTGGGGTTACTTCCACTTCCTTAAATATAATACCCAGTAGTGCATCACCCCTCCCCATGACAGCGAGTGTAAAAACAAACTTATAGTTCTTCTTTGTGTTAATTTGAGTCAAAAAGATCACACGTTGTGAAGGAGGACCGACATTTGACAAATAATGATTCTAAAAGCATTCAAGTTGTATTTAAATTATAAGATGATTCTGTGTTACATGAGCCAGAATTTGACTCTGCACTGTAAAAAAGGAACCTCAGGGGTTATCACATTAACAAAAGAATATCATGTACTGTTAACTAAATAATTGCATGTTTGAGCCAAAAACATGATACAATCATGTTGCATAAAAGATATTCCACAACTTCAACGTTTATAAAATGTAATCATGTTGAGCGAACATGATTCATTATAGTCAGACCGATCCTATGCTGAAGACCACGAGTGAGATCACGCGATATCACAAGTTCACGCAAGCTTACGAGAAATCACGGGATATCACGCGAGAATACGCGAGACAATCGGTTTTTTCTCGCAAATGGAATAAAATGTATTCAAGGTGAGATAACGTGATTCAATTACGTCAGCTATATCTTCCGCCAAAAAAAAAGAACGTCGGGGCGTATTACATTAACAAAAAAATATCATGTACCTTTCACACAATAATGTTGGGTTTGAAACGAAAACGTGATAAAATCATGTTGGATAAACAAGATATTCCACGACTTCACATTTATAAAATTGAATCATGTTGAGCTAACATGATTCATTATATTTAGACTGATATTGTGCTGATGACAACGAGTGAGATCACGGGATCACGCGAGAAAACGCGAGACAATCGGTTTTTTCTCTCAACTGGACTAACGTGATTGAATGACGTTATCTCAACTTGAATACATCTAATTCCTCAAGCTCCCAGGCTTGAGGGTCCTGCGCAGTATCATATATATATATATATATATATATATATATATATATATATATATATATATATATATATATATATATATATATATATATATATATATATATATATATATATATATTTGAAGAAGGTAAGAGTCAAACTATTTTCCATGCCCACACATAGACTGTCCATGTACTTGTAAGACATGGAATGCTTTGCATATTCATTTAAGTAGAAGGATATAGACTGTGTTGACCATTCTGTACTTTTCACATATTTCTTTGGTGATATATATATATATATATATATATATATATTATATATATATATATATATTATATATATATATTTATATATATATATATATATATATATATATATATATAAAAATATATATATATATATATATATATATTATATGTGTGTGTGTGTGTGTGTGTGTGTGTGTGTGTGTGTGTGTGTGTGTGTGTGTGTGTGTGTGTTTTTATTTTATTCAATATCAATATTTGTCAAAGTTAATCTAATAAAAAAAACCACAGTGACGTCAGTTCCAAAGCGCTATTGTGTCAGACTCATCTCTCGCTGAAGAGGATCCAGCGACATCAAGAGATTACGGAAAATCACGCGAGATAACTGGCTTGCACCTTGTTGGGTTTTTTCAAGGGCAGAGGGGAGATTCCTGGCGTGCATCTACTTAATTTGAAGAAGGTAAGAGTCAAACTATTTTCATCTAAATCCATATAAAAATATGTAACTTAAAATTTCTCCACCATTTGCACCATTTTCTACTTGTTCCATACTTGTGTCACATTATTTCATGTTCTGTAGATTAAGTCGGTTAGGTTAAGGCAGATAGCTTTTTGTTTACATTTATCGCCGCACCATGTTAGGTACATTCTGTGCGAAAAAACTCTGCAGAGCCATATGTAGTGTACAAAGCTGCTGCCAGTGACACAAATGGACCCCAGAAATGTCACAGTTTTGTTCCTCCTGAGCTCCCTGGAGGTTTAGAGGATTTTCAACACACGGATCTAACATCAGTCTATTTCTAACTATTTTAATTCTATTTCAGTAATGTTACTATGGAGGTAAATGTAGATACACACACACACTTTGATACCTTTCTATCATCATCGAGATTCTTAATTAATTATGGTAATAAAAAGTCCTACATTTCAGTCGGTGAAACCTGCAGAAAGCATTGCTTTCTGAGCTTTGTTAAATGTTCCTTAAATACCTGTTAGTTATGGATTTCTAGTATATTTTGTCAGGCTAAAACTCTCAATGGATTATCCATTATTACAGACTTGAGCTTTCTATTTTTTTTCTTTAAAATACATATTCCTCTGCTGTAAAGATGTTGGGGTTTTTTGGACTCTTCTTTGTTGTCCCCAAATAATTGTAGCTCAGAAACAATATTGAAGTTCATTGGTTTAATTTTGAAATGTTGATGTTTTTTGTGTTGATTGTGCTCATTTTGACCTATGTTACTATTACTTTCTACCATGTTCAATTCACCATTGTTCTGCACATATGTGCTTGCATGTGTCCAGTGGTTATATTCATGAGGCATTCAAGGGACTTGTACTAAAAGATACAACTCAGTTCAGTATGAATTGCATATTTTAATGGCTGAAAATATATCTGATCTCTTTCAGAACATCACCTGTCTGTAATCCACCTGCGTAAGTACTGGTCAAGGGGCTCATCGGCTATCAAGTTATAGATTCAGTGGCTAATAGTAAGTTTTGCCAGATCTAAAGTGACTGAATGTAGTGTTAGAGAGCTTATAAAGCTAGGGTTCAGCTAAACATTTATTTGGCCAGTCTGTTTTATTTGTCTTTATTTGCGTGGGGATGTGGAAATGTAAGGAGTGTAGTCTCTTTCTGTCTCGTAGATATGACCTGTTAAAACATTTTACACTTAAACACGGCATATGCGACGTTATCCATGCCCACACATAGACTGTCCATGTACTTGTAAGACATGGAATGCTTTGCATATTCATTTAAGTAGAAGGATATAGACTGTGTTGACCATTCTGTACTTTTCACATATTTCTTTGGTGATATATTCATGTCTTTATTTAAACATCTAACAGCTTCAGTTAGATGTTTAAATGAGATGTTAAACTCAATTTTAGTCATGGCACAATGAAGGGATACTAACAATTTTAAATATCTTTCAAATAGACTGCAAGCCACTGATCACTTTTGTTGTCACTTCCTTTGAATGTAGCTATGTTTTCAAGTGTGTGAACCTATACTGCTGGTTGAGATTGTTCTCATTGTTTTTTGATCTGCATATTTAGGAAGACACTGCTGAGGTCAGACGAGAGTGCATCCTCAAAGGTCTGTGTGTACCTAAATGAAGATCCAGAGAAGCTGGTGAGGGAGTACATGGTATGTTAAATTCTCTTTGTGTTTACAATAGAACTCCTAAGAGTTGTTAAAATACTTTCACCAACTAAGGTCCATGAGTGACTCAATCAATGTCAGTCTTAATTTATTTATTTAATTACATGTGAATTGTCTCCCCCAATACCCTTCCCTAACTCCCTTAGGACGTTGATGAATGAAATGGCCAAAGCCGAGACTGTCCTCGGAATCGTCATTTGAGCAGAGGGTGCAGAGGCTGCCGATGCACATCTGGATGTTGGGATTGTCCTGGAGGAGGTGGAAGTTATGAACAGCTTGGGCAGTGTATCTTCTGCAATAGTGATGCTGCTGGGACTAATCAACGCACTAAACTTGAGCTACCCTCAAGTTTAGTGCGTTCAGCACTCAACTTGCTCAGTAACTCAAGCATATCTTTGAAGTAATACAGAATAATAATGAAATTGGATGGAAAGAACTTATCAAAGAAAGCACAAGTTCTCAATATGAAACTCGCTGCTAAGTTGAGTAAAGTTTCATATGGAAAATGAGTGTTTAAAGTCTGCAGTAGAAAAGATTTATATTGTTACAGTTCTCTAAGTTGAGCAACTATACTGACATGTTTTATGTTGTAAAGAATTGGCTGGGAAATGAAACTGTAACCTTTTTGCAGTTGTTTTTTTATTTCAATGTCCAACTCGGCTGTGTTTTGTGCTGTGTAAAAAAACGATATATAACAATTCTGAAAATACAATTGTGTTGTACCTTTTCTAATTGTTGAGTGTTCTTCCTACACTTTCACCTAGTGCTATCTTAAAATGCTTGATTAACGCTTGAAAATATGTCTTTGAATTAACATCATGAAATAATGGAAAGGATTTCCACACGATTAACTAGCTGTCTTTTAGCATGAAGCATATTTGTTGAGCTAACTTGCTTTTAGTGAGTTGGACCTACTGAATCAGGTAGTGTGAAGGTACCACTGTAAAATAAGGTTTCAACTAGATTTACATTCATCTTAATGAAGTTACATCAATGATTTGGTCCTAAACATTGCAGATTAGTTGGGCGGGCTGTACGCTATAGTAACTGAGTAAAGGAACCTTTAAAACATATGTTGAGTCAACACATTTCATTTGAATTTGAATAACCTTAATGAATGGAGTTGAGCCAACTCATTTGATTTACAATCATCCATTGCATTACCATAATTCTGGTTAAGCCCAACATATTTGGTTTAAATTAGAACAACCTTAATGAATTATGTTTTGCCAACTCATTTTATTTATATAAGAATAACCACAATATATTACGTTGAGCCAACATGTTTGATTTAGAATCACCCATTGAATCACCATTGTAACAAGTTGAGCCAACACATTTGCTTTACATTGGAATAATCTTAATAATTAGGTTGACCTAACACATTTGCTTTAAATAGGAGTAACACAAGTACATGGTGCTGAAATAAAGCAAAGTAATCAGGTGGAAATCCTTTCCATAATTTTTTTATGTTCATCCAATGACTTATTTTTTTCAGTGTGGTGACCCTCAAGTCACACAAGCTGCAGAAAACAGAGGAGGTGAACTTTGACTCTTACAAATCTAGTTCTTTCTATCTAAATTGTATCATGTATTTTGGGGCAAACTGGTAGAATTGAGCTCATTGTGAGTCTTATGGTTTTGCTCACTTTCATCAGATGATGCAGAAGTACGAAGTTTGGATTTGAAAATCATCTCAGTGGAACACAAACAGTGAGTCTGGGAACAAATAATGATTTACAACAAAACGGAAAAAATGAAACCTGTTCTATAGGTAAAAAACTATAAGACGTTTTATTGCTTTCACAGATAAGTCCCACTGGTAGCTTTAAATGACTGGAGCATTTGCAGCTCTTTTGGGAACCTCAAATATGGGGGGAGAAAAACAATGTTTACATCTTCTTAAATATCACATATGACACTTGCTGGCTTTGTCTTCAGCTTGCGTAATGAGACGAGGACGTGTTTGACACCCTGTGTTATAAATGAAGAGGAAATACAGCATCACTGAAGGTCTGTGTGACAGTGATGATGTCCAGAATGCAGCCCACTGATGACACTGAAGTAGAAAAGACAGAAGAATCTCTAAGAGCAGTAATCCTCGGTCAGGGGACAAAAAAAAAAAAATATATAGCTAATTTAATTCCCTCGTCACACAACGCAGGTTTTCCTGAAGATCATGGCACTTCTACTGCTCCTATAAAAATCTTCAATATTCTTAAAAAAAGCCCTCGATAAAAAGCAGTGACATCATACGCAACTGGATTCCTTAAACGCCTCGGATACCAGATTTTTTTAAACAAGCAGTTGGAGGGTTTGCAAATTAGCTTCAAGACAGAACCAAGATGGTTCAGATAAACATGCCAAACATGCAAAAGGGGTTCCACAAGGCTTATTTCTAAGTCCATTATTGTTGTCCATCTAAAAACAACCTAGAGCTCATTCTGAAGTCACTTCAATAACAATGTAATTTCTTGCTCTGCGAAGTCTTCTGAGTAGCTCCAAAAACTTGGTAAAATTAACTTAAACTTCCTTTGCAACAAATCTTTTCAAACGCAGTTGAATTGATCATTAAAATTAATTTGCATTTTTGGAAATGAAGTGTTTCTAATTCGTAACACTTTCTGCTCCTAGGTTAGTTAATACATTTCTTATGACCTCAATGGAACAAACCTAGTGAAATAAATAAAATTAAAAAGTCCACATGCTGAATCTATGAACTGTAATTTGAAGAATACTTTATGGAATAATTTTCTACCCTTCCTGTAGTTATAGATTTTCCACACGAGGAAATGTTTGTTCACTAGATTATTACAATATATTACTACACAGGGAGTGTCTGCCTCAACCCTGCAAGTCTGCGTCTATAAATGAATATCATCCCAGCAGCATTGATATGACCTCATTTTACTGTGTGGCATAAAAGGTTTAAAAACAAAACAAAACAAAACCAAGAAGTATTGAACTAACCAAGGGGTGAAAAATAAAGTGGACGTGTCAGTCTAAAGTAAAGAAACTGTGACACAGGCCAGAAATTCTGCCTAAACTTCCCTGAACAAATCCAAGCATTCCGATGAAGCTGCAGAACCTGCTGCGGTAAATATAAAGCAAATGTTTACTTTGTTTCCTAGAAAGCAACACATTTTACCTAACGAGCTTTGTAACCTGAACGCCTCATTTTGTGAGGCTCATTAACTGATCAATGTCGCGGTAAGTTTAGAGACAATCGGACGCCTGTAAAAAAACCGATCAATTGTGTCCTGATCACAGGCACAAAGTTAAAACTGCTCACCTGGTGAAGCGCTGTCAGCCCGTCTACGTTGGCGTGGTTGATGTCAGCTCCTTGTCGGAGTAGCGCCGCCACCTCCTCCCGGTCCCCGGCGGAGCAGGCGGCCATAAACACAGCTCCCTGCGCGAACTGCACCTTCGCGCGCCGCGTCCCAGAACCGCCCGTGGTTTTCCGAGTGTCCGACCCCGTCCGGTCCGTTTCCGAGCCCAGCCATCGCTGGAGCTGATCCTGCCGTCGCTGTTTGGCAGCTTCGGACCGGGAATGGTCAGTGGCCGCCATCTTCCCCCTGGTGAGTCCACGGACAGATTCAGCTCATGGTACGAGGAGGAGAAGCAGCGGACTGCCGTGTTTAGATTGAGCCTTCTCACCCCCTGCCCGGGCTGCGCCACCTGGTGGACGATCTCTACAATTGAAACCGCAAACTTCGCTGAGAACTTCTACGACAGGCCCCTGGTGCCTTCAGGAATGGCTCGGAATTTACTTACTTACTGCCACACAAGTGTATTAAAGACGCTGAACTTAGTTTGAAATTCGCTACTTCAGCTTCAGCGCTTGACAAAATGTTTTTTTTTTTTTTTTTTACTTCTCGCCACCTTTGATCCACTAAAATAATTAGAATGGACAAAATGTCGAAGTTGGTAGCATTTTGGCCTTGCAAACAAGAAGGTCCTGGGCTCAAATTCCATCCTGGACTATTTCTGCATGGTGTTCAGATGTGGGGATTCTCTCTGGGTACTCCAGCTTCATCACAGCCCAAAAACACGACTATTAAATTTAATGGTCTCTCTGAAATGCTCTTCGATGCGTGTGTGCATAGTTATGTGTTTCTGTGTGGCCTTGTGATTGGCGACGTGTCCAGATTCCAGAGTGTGCATGTATGTGTAGGACTCTCCATGTAATCCTACAGTCCACGACATAACAGTTTGGTCAAAATTGCCCTTAAAATTTAGGCCGATTGACGACATGTCCAGATTCCAGGGTGTGCATGCATGTGTAGGACTCTCTATGTATTCTGGCTGCCTCCTGCAGCATAACAGTTTGGTCTAAATTGCCTTTAAAAGTGAGCAAGGATTGACAGATGTTGCTACTGTTAAAGTCATATCAAAATATTTTTTTTCTTACTCCAAATATAACAACAAAGATCATTATTAAAACAAAAACTTGAGAGATGTAAAAAGTGATACACCTAAAAAAGTACTTTGAAAAATGTATGCTTCATGCCAAATTGCGTCTTAATACGTGGTTTATAATGGAGGAATGATAAATGTAGTTTAACTTTTTTTTAAATGACTGAATTGCTAAAAAGCCACAAACATCTAGCTATGCAATCCAAACCTACCGTGGTTTTAGAGGTCAGGGGAATAAAACTTAGTCTAAATTTGGTGCATGAAAAAACTACTTTTTTCTGTTTTTCTTTTTTACTACTTGACATTTTTACTACTTGACATTTTTGTAATTTTCTACTTAATTGTCATAATAGTTACAAACACAGTTTATGCCAATCCTACACCACGAACAGTGAAAAATCTTCTGTAGTTTATAATTAAACTTGGCTGGTTTGCAGCATATGCCTACTGTTGCTCCTGTTTGTCTTTTTATAAGATGGAAGTTTTTCTGTTGTTGTTCCTGTTGTTGTAGTTATATGCTGTAGTTAATCGTGGGGAGTACCAGTTTATTTTATGATCACAAATTCTAAACATGATGACACCTGGTGACAATATCAGCACACTACATTGACTTGGCAAATAACGTAAGTTTTCAGCATATCAAATGTTCTATTAAAATGAAACACACTGTACATGACGAGTATTTAAAGAGTTTGGTTACTTAAGAAGTAGGAAATGTGCAGATCTGAAAAAAATGATTGACACTGAACAAAACACCAAATATATTTTAAAATAATTAACTAAAGAAAGAAGCAGTGAAAAAAAGAGAAAAATTATAAAAAGTATGATTGGAAATATACATGACAACTACATGACATTCAGGTACTGCATACACATCAATTTATTTTAGCCATTTACATGAGTACATTTGTTAAAAACAAAGTAAGCTTTCTTTAAACATAGTGCATTGGAAATTGCATCACGCAAATGGAGTAAATGTTTTTAACAAACGAACTCTAATGTTTTCCGTTTGTCCAGTGCTTCCTGTGAGCCAAAAGTAATTGCAGGCAGGAAAATGCTGCTTCACTTTGTGGCTGACTGCCTTCCACTAAAACCATCAACACTGTTTTTTTTTTTTTTTTTTTTTTTTTTTTTTTACTGTGCTAAATCTTTGTGACATCCTGTAATTCAAGTTTGTGCATGACTGACTAACTGTGCAAATTTTAAGTGTGCTTCTGTTGATGTAGTACTCCATGAGTGCCTGAAGCTAACGGCTTATTTCTGACTCGGGCATTGGTCCAAGAACGTTGAAAACCCAGTAAATGTTCTTGTGCCTCAAAAAAACTATTTATGGTTCTTGAAGTTTTGTAGATTTTTGCCTCGTTTTGAAATTTTAAGTAGAAAATGAAACAGTCGACCATAACTGTGAAGTAAAAGAAATCTTCAATCTTCAATGCATGGCTTTGAAGATTATTTACAATTAAAGACCTGAAAAGTGTGGTGTATGGCATGTGGCATGCTTCATGCATTTGTAAAAAAAAAAAAAAAACACAGTGTGGCAGAGAATAACCAGACAGACAGTGAAACATTGCAGTACCGTGATGTGGAGATGGTTCTATTCCACCAGGTTAAGAAAGCAGGTCATAAGTTGTAAGACTTGGCTATTCTTGAAGAAAACATGTTAGAGGATGTATTAGACCTAAAACCGAAACATCTTTATGTGTTGGAAAGGCCCAGTCAAAGTCCAGACCTAAATTTGGTTGAGAATCTGAGGAAAGACTTGCTTTTCACGTTCCCTTTCCATCCATTCTGACTGGGGTTGATGAATGGGTGAAAATGTCAGTTTCTGGATATCTAACGCTGTCAGAAACATGTCGCAAAATGCTTCCAGGTATACATGCAGGGAGACGTTGCCCCAGCAGGGATGATTACAAACACAAGCTAAAAAAAGTGAAAATCATAAATTTTTCTTCCATTTCACAATTATGCACAACTTTGTGTTGGTGTAAACTTAAAGGAAGCATCAATTCTTTTTCAAAGTTCTATATCACTGCTTCCAAACAGTACGCAAAGTAGCTGACTGCATTTCAAATGCAATATCGACATTGCAACTTTAACATATCTTAGTGTAATTTTTGTTTTTCACTATTCCAGCATCAGGATTGTGATCACAGCTGAAGCCTACCAAAAGCTCTTAGATCGGCTCAAAGGTTTAGCAGGTTTGCCACCTTGAGGATTATTAAAATAATCTTTATGATCTGCAAAGTCTTGTTGGAAAAAGCTGGCCATGCGGCTGGTCTCTGGTGGGATCTGTCCGGTTTTGAAGGAGCCTTGAAGGTCCACGTCGATGCAGAGAACCCCAGACAGCAGCCGGTTCTTGTACCGGTCGAACACGTCCTGCATTGAAGAGCCACTGCTGTTCATCCAGGTGGGAAATAGGTTGCTGGAGCTGGACTTGGATGAGAGGGACCTGTAATGGTGAAGCTCCAGGTGGCAGAACAGCCTAGTAGAAAAGATTGCAAATGAAAAATTAGCTCAAATAATTGTAAATAAATATAAAATAAAATATATTACTACAATTGAGAAAAGATTTTGTACTGAGCTAACTTTACTCACAAAATGCCATGTTCTGCTTTTCAGCAAAAAAAAAAAAAAGACAGAGAAGCTTTAAACTCCTTCAAATTATCCTAAAAGGAGCAGAGTTTTGCAAGATTTGCAAGACTAAAGTAATATGTTTACTGTCTAAATCTAATGTCATGACAGCAGAATGTACAAAAACGCAACAATTTTTCATCCAGTGTCGGCTTGATTGTTGACATATCAGTCGCTTTGAGTTCCTGCCACCTTCAAAAGGCTAAAATGATATGCTTCTGCAGGTTGTACAAAGCTGAAATCCTGCCAGGATCAAATACTGCAGAGAGAAGCCTCTGTCAGTCCGCTGTGTACAGACATGCCTGACATGTTATGCAACATTAGACTGTGACTGTAACTGTTGATTTTATGAACTACCTGGCAGATATGTGCTGTGAAAAGTTTCTGGACGCCTGACGCAGAAGACGTTGCAGGATTTTCTGTATCTGCTCTCGGATCCAGCCCACATCCTCCTGCACATCTGGAAGCCACTCCAGAAGCCTGTATATGGAAGACATCATCATCAGTCGGTGCACAACCTAGCATCCCCAGTAACAGCGATAGACATTGCCCTCAACTATCAAAATGGTGCACCTGCTAAAGTTTGCAGAAAAGTATTACAGTAAAGTTAAGTTAAGAGACCTGGTGATGAAGAGATGTCATTTTTATGCAGTCCTCACTGTTCATCGTTTTAAGAAAAGCTCAGGTCTTCATCCACCTTGTTTGTGCCAGAATTTAAATATGGACAAATGCATGGAATTATCTTTTTTCTTTTAGCCTTTATCACCTGAACACACATTTTCAAACTGTGAATGAGATGGTCAAATGTCTTTTAAATTTTGAGGTCAGAGAAAAGGGCAACTGTGTCGGAGAAATAGTCCCTTGAGGATTACTAATTCATACGTTTATAAAAATTGTGAACCTGTAAAAGGAGAGTGATATTGCTACAGGTACCAATGAATGTTGCAGCTGTGACAATAAACAAGCATACTTTAGCTAATAGTTGCATTTTTCAAAGTATTCAGTGTGATATTAAGCATCTACATTACAAAAAGCAAGTTATTCTTTCATAAGGGGTGAAAATAATGCTCGCCCAAAAATGGATGAAATAAACTTCAAATCTACAGTTTCAATACTTTCAAAACATTGTTTCCTGAAAAATGGCTTTGATTATAAAACATACAATAAGACACGTACAACATTATCAGAAACAGTAGGAATGAAGTGTAATGTGATGAAGTCACACATCACCTGAGAGTCAAGGACATGGCAGACTCCAGAGGGAGAGTGTAGGGGAGCATCATGGCTGATGCCATCCTGACAGGGAGCAGGTTGCCCAGAGATTGCACCAGGCTCCTCCTCTCTAGGCAGGCCTCTAGTAGAGCTGCAGGGGGCGCAAAACATCAAGTTATGTAACTAAACACTTGCTCAATTTAGTGGATATATTTATACATTTAGTGAATATAGTTTGCCACCGCTGTTAACTTTGGGGTTTTGATGATGCATCTGAAACATATTTTCTCAAGGTGGATGGGTAACACAACTTCATTTTCAAAATAAATAAATACTTGGGTGCATAATTGGATGAATTTCTTGTGAATTTGTTTCATTTCACACCAGCTTAAGTATATTAATACACACTGAATGTAAGCAAGTCTCAGCTTGATCTCAAGTTGTCTTGGCAGAACCGGTAGAGTTCACTCTTTGCAGAGACTTTTAAGCACAGGCCATACATTTTTAGCCACATTTGTTAAGTAGTTTCTTTGGGTTGACTCATTAGAAAACTTAAGGTTGGCGTACAAAACCAGTTTTGATATGTATATGGGATTCTTGTCCAATTAGAACCTATCAAGGAAATAAAATGTTTTTCATCTACAAAGGCATGGATAACAAAGGCTGGAAATGTGTTTTTACAATAGCTGCAATTAAAACAAAAAATGACTTAAGAAAACATGTTTAATAATTGTTTTAAACCTGAAAAAAAGTCTGATGTTAATGAAGCAGAAAAGAAGAACAAAACAAAAAGGCTACTGAAGACTTTCACACAAACTGCAAATAAATATTAAATATGAGACACTGTCAAGTTGAGTGAAATCTTACCTTTGTGCACGGCAGGTGGAAGATACTCGATGATATGCTCATCCAGTGAGGAGCTGGCATGAAGCACCACTTTTGCCTCCACCTGTGGCTTCTCTTCTGCCTCATTGTTTTTCTCAGCCTTCCCTTCATCACAAGCCTTATGTTCTTCTCTGTTGGCCAGCAAAGCTTTGTCTGTTTGAGGCCCGGTGTAATTAAGCAATCCTGAATTTCACACAACACAGATATAAACCTTACTGATTCATCAATATATTCTATGAAAAATATAATATCTTTGGTAAATCTGCTTTTTAACAACCAAATATACATTTCACTGCTTGTGTGTACTTAAATAACTACAGTGAGTAATTTGAGCTTATCACAAGGAAAAAACAGCCAATTGATTTGCTGACATGGTAAAAGGAAGCATGAGTTTTGATAATGTATCAGGATCAACACGCTGTGTACAACCTAAACATTTGTGTTCATGAGACAAAAACAAGGAATCAATAATGCTAGTTCATAGCCAGATTTATTCAAAGTAGCTTTGAATAAAACAAGTCTTACCGTTTCTCTTTAAAAAGTGGAGAGCATCTTTATATCCCTGCTTGCACATGGCCTTCATGACCTGCATTCAAACACACATTTACGTTTATCTTTTATGTGTCAAAGTAGTGCAGTGTGATCTCTTCATCTTACATGCTGTTACATGCAAACATTACCTTTTGTAATGTTTGTAAAATGTTTAAATTGTTGAGGCGGTTGACTTGAATTTTATGTTTTGATTTTGTTTGTGTCCTCAGATATTTCATAATGTATTTTTCTTGTAATTTTTGTAAAAGTATGATTTTATTGTAATGTGTGTGGTGTGAGGGCCCCAAGAGGAATAGTCTCTATTACAGTAGAGACTATTTGGGATTCTTAATAAACACAATAAATAAATAAATAAATGTACAGAAATCTCAAATGCTGCAATCATTAAAACAATTCAACAGCAACAAATACGGACCATAAAACACAGATCAAAACATTAAAAGATTAGAAGATTAGTTGGTTTTTCTCCAACTGCCTTGCACTTGCATGATCACAATCACAAATATCAAAGTTTTAGCATGACAAAATGTGAAAAAACTCTAGGGGTCGGAACATTTTATTAGAGAAAGGCCTACCATTGGATCTGGTGGGAAAAGCGCCCTAGAGACTCTGTATAGGTTGGTGAGGGTGAACTGGATGCTTGTGTTGGTGAAACGTAGCTCGTGGATGTTGGTGGAAGTGTCTCGAGGGCAGATGTCGCTCTCTCCGGAAAAGGGGGAGACTGTGATGGTGTTCTTCAGCTCGTACTGTGGCAGGTTGTCGGAGATTCCCCCGTCAACATATCGCTGAATGGTAAAAGATAAATAGAATCAGAGCAAACAGAGTCAGATCAATGAATCCACAAAGTTTCCACAAACGGAACTGAGGGGGCATTCATCCACAGTGCAGGAACAAAACAGGATGCGATAATAGTGACATCATATCCCCTGTATTGATAAGGCAGGTTTTTCTCAAAGATTATGAAATGTCAAAGCTACAAACCAGGCTTTTAAATGAAATCAATCAAATAAACTTTAGATATTCTCCCCTATAAAACAACATCTTACGTTTATTTTTGTTTTTAATCTTGATTAGATTTTTAGAAATTCACAGGGTTCAATGCAAACAATATTCTTTTAGTAACATTACATGAGGTACAAAGCAGCTGTTCATTTATTATTATTATTTTTAATAATAAATTCTTCATTCTCATGTTTTTTAGCAAATTTCTTCTTCTGGAATGTAATCTTGAATTCTGCAGAGCTGCATTTAAGAACTGGAACCGAGCATGAGAATAAATTTATTTATAATTTAATAAATTAAGAGTCAGAACTCTATCTAACACATAGAATTAGATCATTTGCAACTCTAATTCTGTCAGAATTAGTCAAAAGTTGCTTGTTAACTATAATTTATGCTAATGCCAGAGGATTAGCTGATCCCAACCATCTATCTACACACAAATCAGTTTTTTTCTGCAGGGTGTTTTTCAAAATTGTAGCATTCTGTGAAATCCTGCAGTGCAAACCCATACATTATTGCACAACTATTTTTTATCATCAGTGTACATTTGTGAGAAGAAAAACTAAACCACTGGTTAGTCTCTTTACACAGTGTGTGTGTGTGTGTAAAGAGACTGTGACATCAGGATTTAAGTCATGAGAGGGCAATGAAGAAACATCAAATCACATGAGGCCACCTGATCACATTTTGGCTCTGCCACTCTCTAAGTTTTGCCTCAATCCAAACAGACACACACACACACACACACACGCACGCACGCTCACACACACCCACATACATACACACAGGCACACACACGCTCTCTCTCATGCAGTTATACTCCGAAAAACTTGTCACAAAGTTCACAGTGGAGAGCGATACTGCTTGCATCACTCAGTGATATTTCTCAGAAAAAAACCTTTGCACTAGAAACATGGCGAACAAAACAGAAAAGAGGAAAAAGAAGACTTTCCAACATCCCCCCTGAGAGTAACATTTCAGACAAACACTATCACTAGTGGAATTTTATAACCACTGTTTACACACATGTGCCATTAGGAACAAACACATTCTGAAGGAATGGAGGGCCTCAGTGGGTATGGAGACAGAAAAAGAAAATGTGCTAAAAGCAACAAACATAAAACAAAATTAAGTTAGTTACATCACATTAGAAAAATCAGTTTTAATGTAAATCTTCCCAAACCACAAAGTTAAATTAAACTTAATTAGTCTGAAAACAGAAGAATGGCAACAACAGGAAAAGGAACAGAGAATTTACTCACCACGCCTTGCAGTGTGGGAGGAATGAGGCCACAATACACAGGGATGTAGGCACTGCAGACACATGCCTAATAAAAAACCAAATAATTGCAAGTTAGTTGAGCTGCGACAGGCTGGCGACCTGTCCAGGGTGTACCCTGCCTCTTGCCTCTTAATGTAGCTGGAGATAGGCACTAGCAACTCCCGACCCGCGAGGGATAAAGGTTGAACAGAAAATGGATGGATGGATAAATAGTTGAGACTGTTTTGGAGTGAATTTGTCTGGGCAGAGTAACAGTGTGAGAGTTAGAGGAACTTCACTTGTTTCACTCCAGACGAGTGAGAATAGGGAAGTAGCTGTAAAGAGTGTCTAGTCTTAATGTTATTTAGTATACACCTGAATCAGCTCCTCCTTATTGTTGAAGTGAGACACCAGGACGTTTTCTCCGTCTGCCACTCGGGTCAGAGAGATTCCCAGTCGTCCGTTGGCCCGATGGGGGCTATCGGTGGGCAGAGTCCGCCTCAGGACATGACGGACAATCTTCACTAGATTAAAGGAGGGATGCATGGGTCCGAGGAACCGCTTCCTTGCCTCTTTGGCAACTTCAATTATGCTTGCCCCAGCATCTCCTGCAGTTAATTACAGGAACAAAGGTTCACAATCATGTAGCTCACAAACATCAGGGTTAGACATTTATTTCTTTAGACTGTTTGAATGCTTTTCTTTGTATACAACTTTGTTCATTCTTTTATTACACTATGTTCAATAAAGTCAAACTCTACTCAGCTCAAATAACTCCCAAAATCTTTATTCTTAAGACACTTATGATAATTTAAGGTGACAAGAAGAAAGATTTTATTTGAGCTGAAACTAAAAGTGAAATTAAAATAGGTTACATTCTCATTTGTTTGTGCCGGTTGAATGTTACAATTCATGCAACTATTGCGACTAAAAATTGAAACTGGATGCCATAGTCTTTCCATCCTACGCAGGTGCGCACAGACAACAGCCGGTACATACCAAGACACACTCCAGTGACCAAAGCAGTGGCGGTGAGGGCCCCAGCAGAGGCTCCATAGATGTGTCTGGCGTTCTGCACCAGGAAGGGTGCTTGCTCCTGCAGACAGCTAGCCACACCGATGTGGTAGATCCCCAGGAAGCCGCATCCTGCGAAGGAGATGTTCCAGGGCGAGTCTAACGGGAACATGCTTGTCCAGAGCTGGGACCGGGGACGCAAAAGCTTCACTTTCAATTAAAACGTTCCGAAACAGCTTACACGTTTCTTTTGCAATAACAGACTCTAAAATTTAAATCATTCCCCTTTCGCATGACTTACTCAAAGTACTAAACCTGTACCAGTTAGTATTGCTATTGCCTCAGCAAGCGATTAAAAATGAACGTAGCTTAGAAAGCGACGCGCAAATTCCGTAACACTGAAAGTTCTTAGCAGCTTTTTAAATAAACTAGGTCGGAGGAAATTAATAAATACGTAGTAAACTTTAGGCGATTGTTATTATTTCACATGCTTTGTTTGCGTAACCAAGAGGGAGGATACAGGATGAACAGCTTGACCAATCACATTTTAGCCGGAAAAGGACCTTGACCAATGAGAATTGTACAAAGTTACATTTTGTCCAATCATAGTTTTCATCGCTGAGTTACAGATGAAGTCAGTTTGCGGTCACTTTTTTCTGACATTGTCAAAAGTTATTTCCCCAGGCGGAACTCCACGTTTTGTTTTGCTCAATGTTTATGTTCCTAAATGCAAAAAAAAAAAAAAAAAAAAAAAAAAAAAGATTCAGAGAGCAGATGTCTTATTTTGAGTTTGTTTCACAAAAGGATCTGGAAGAAAGGTCAACTGATTTCTGGAAGCCTCAGTTTACATGACAATAACTGAAATCCACAATGCGCTGCATGAAGCTTTTCATTTCATAATAGAAAAGCTGCACCACCAATAGAAGGTGACTTTAAAAAAAACAGTGCCTGTATATTTCATAAGGGATATGTAACTTTAACATTTACTGTTATTAACAAAAATCTTGGATGTTTTTAACAAAAGGAAATTTGAAGCCCCAAATATAGAAAGTGCACTGTGCAATATCTCTGACTGATCACTTTCTTTGAATAAACTGTTCGCAGAATAAGACAAAATGAAGTCCGTGTTGAGAAAGGTCCAGATGAACACATCCTATTGTGAAAACAAGATGTGTTACTTTCCCTGTGTTTATAGATTTCTATTCTAAAAAGAGTTCAGTCTGAATGAGCCGTAATGATTAAATGCAGGGAAGTCTATGAATGAGAGAGAAAATTTCCCAAACATCAGATATTAATAACAATAATAAAGCGCTTTTATTCAGGGAAAAATGATCAACTCTCAGTGAGTTAAGCAGAGTCCCTCTAAATGAGACGAACATGGCAAACAATAAGGAAACCAGAACAGGGTTTTCCTAAAATATAAATTTTCATGAAGAGAGGCGATCTGCGGTGTCTGCAGGATGTAAATTATTTAATTAGCACAACTGTCCATAATTCAAATAGTTAAATAGTAGTGTAAAGGCGACATGCGCAGTAGAGTGGCTGCTGACGCAACGTGACTTATTACATGAGGAGATAAAAAAGTGTTGTTCGGGTGGGTTTGAGGCCTTTGGTGCCGATGACGTGCAGGGTCTTTATTTGTTCATTCTTTTTTTCTAACCGCCACTTTGCACTTGCTGGTCGCAGAGCCCAGATCTGATTTCGTTTTCGCCATTTTAGCAGCATAAGCTTCCATCGAAGCCTTGGAGGCGGTGGTGAAATAATATCTCATAGCATATAATGAGATAGGATCTCATTACATATCTCATAATATCTATTATAGTGAGATATTGTCTCATAGTATATAATGAGATAGTATCTGATACTATATTGAGATACTATCACAGTACAATGTCATTATAATGAGATAATATTATCATAATTAGTATCTCAATACAGTATATTGAGATACTATATAATTATATACTATGAGATACTATCTCATAATATATAATGAGATACTATCTCATTATATTTAGATCATTGTCTCTTTATCTCATTATCATGAGATAATTTTATTATAATGAAATAGTATCTCATAATATAATTATCTCTTTATAATGATATATATTTTTTTGTATCAGAGTGGCGCCGTCACACTGATCATGTTTCTGCAATAACAAGAGAGCAGCAATTCTTCTGGTCATTAATGTGTGACATAGCCCCACCCCCAAATAAAGTGGGCAACACTGAATTTCCTTTTGGGATAAATAAAGCATTTTTAAGTTTAACTGAAAATAACAAACCTTGTATACAAACAAGAGGTCTCAGATCTGAGACCTCACGTCAATAAAATTTCTGAATTGGTCTACTTTAGTACAGGAAAATGTTTTCTGATCCTAATGTTTTTTTCTTTCTTTTTTTTTGTACAATAGGAAAAGTAAATATTTCATTCAATATCAAAGATCTTGCCAGAATGTGTTCAAATATATTTTGTACATCAGAAAACTTAATATAATTTATTGCAACACAGGCTGAAATAAACATTACATCAAAGATGCCTACTGGTTGGCACAGTAGATTTCCAGAAAACATAGTTGGGGCTCGCAAACTTAAAAAAAAAACAATAAACAAAAACATGTAGCTAAAATTATTAACAAAGATATTTGATAGCTGAATGTTATTCCTGAAAATGCTTCAAAGGTTTTTATTGTTTCAGATTTTTCATGTCATGTTTTGGGACAGCAAGTTTAATCTTGATTAGATAACCTTAAATAATAATAATAAAAAAGCTATGATTTTGGACAAACTATATACAGTGTTTGACTGCTTTTACATAATAGTCTGCTATGGAAATTTAAGTTAATTTGTTATTTATTTATTAAATCACTCATTCTTTCATTCATTTTTCAGTCCCATTTATTTTAATTTCCCTTTAAAACAATATTAAATATTAACATATTCTACCTTAACTTCTGATGGGAACCCTCGCACAAGAAATATAGATTTATGTTTTTGCTTAAAATACCTTTTTCACGCTTCCGGGTTTTAAAGCGGATGTGGAGTTAGACAACTTCCGGTGGCTATAGCGTTAGCATTAGAAGGCTAGGAAAATGGCTCAGTCTCGGCGCAGTTGTTTTTGTTCAGTCCCTGGTTGTTCATGTAGGGCAAGAAAACAGCCTTATCTGTCATATCATGCGTTCCCGACGGACCCGGACCAACGGAGGCAGTGGATCCAAGCGATCCGAAGAGATGAAGGTCCGGACTTTTGCATAAAGACGGGGAGCACTTTCGTATGTAGCCGCCACTTTACACCGGAGGATTTTGTCAGCGGATCCACCACCAGGCGCCTTAAAAGTGGATCTGTTCCTTCCCTGTTTGCCTGGAATAACTTCACTGCACCGACAGTGAGAGAGTCTGTTTTTGAGAGGGCTAAGAAACGGCAGTTTGTCCTCTCTCAGAAAGCTAGCCACGCTGAAGATGCTACTGCGGACCATGACTACACGGCACATCCATCCGCAGGTAAAAGATAGTACATTGTATATATTTTCCATGTAAGATAATTTCAGTAAAATATAACTGTTGCTATAATAATATTATTATTGTTATGATCATATAATAATGAAATTATGAGATTATGTGGTTCTGTATTTTGTGGAGAGATTAAGTCAATGGCTGTATACATACATGCTCTGACTCACAACATGTATTGATCTTCACAGAAGTAATGTTTCAAATATATAATTAAAACTTATTGCTAACCGTATGTTTTGCTATTTTATTTTGTGGTTTTACAGGTGCACTTGATGAAGCTCTGGATTATATTAAGGAGTTTGGAGGCCAGACTTCAAAAAGTGGATTTGTCTGCCACACTTTTTAGCCGCTACTGTGCCTCTGATGACCAGATCCGGTTCTACACCAAATTTCCATCTGAATGTGTGTTCCGGATCTTCTGGGAGTCCATTGCACCCTCTGCATCACACCTGGTGTACTGGACCAGAGCACAGAAACTTGGAGAGGAAGCATGTGCTGAAGCCAGCCCTGCCTGCTGCATGCCTCTGATTGATGAGTTCCTGATGTATCATTCAGGGTAGCAGTGGCATGAAGGAGCAGCTCATTGCTGACATGTTTCAAGTCAGCATAGCTACTGTCAGCCGAGTGACCATCACCTGGGCCAACTACCTCTTCATTGTGTTCTCTTCTATCAACCTGTGGATTAGTCGTGAGAAGGTAAAAGCCAGTATGCCTCAAAAATTTCTGAAGTTCTCTCCAAATGTCCGTGTCATCTTGAACTGCACAGAAGTTGCTCTGGAAATGCCATCATCCCTCACCTTACAGTCTGAAACGTTCTCTGCCTACAAGAACCACCACTCTGAAAGGGCTGATTGGAGTTGCTCCCTGTGGGTTGGTGACATTTATTTCAGCGTTGTACACAGGCTGCATCTCCGACAAAGAAATAACGAAGGTCAGTGGAATCCTTCCTCTGCTTGAGCTGGGAGATGAAGTCATGGCAGATAAAGGCTTCCTCATTCAAGACCTCCTTCATGAAGTTGGAGCCAAACTCATCATTCCACCATTTAGGCATCCTGGTCAAATCAGCAAGGAAGAGACAGAGGAGACCCAGACCATTGCTCGGCTGCGGATCATTGTAGAGCGAGCAATCGCTAGAGTAAAGTGCTACCACATCTGGGATTCCCCAGTGCCTCTCACTTTAATAGGATCTGTCAATCAAATCTGGCACAACTGTTGTGTTTTGGCAAATTACCAAGGCCCATTTTGTGTTGCAGACTAAATTATTTCTGTATGTTAATTGTTGTAATGCTATGTAAAAAGTTAAATGTCTAGACTTTTGCAAAAAATATTCAATTAAAACACACTTTGGCAGCACACTTGACTTTCTCTTTGTATTAAGTTGAATTGCAATGAAAACAAATCAAGTACAATTTACAATATCTAGTAAAAACAAAAAAATCCATAACTATTTCATATTTTATAATTGTACACCATACATTGATTTAAAAAAATACTTAAGGAGAAAAATTTTAAAACATAAGTTTCAAGACAACTGCAGTTAAGAAAACAAATTTTTGTAAATTATCCAACTGCCTTTGCATTTCAAATATCCAATCTCAAGCTGTGTGAATCACTGTAAATAGTTGTTACTCATGAAACATACAGAGACGTGCAAATGTCTTTAAAACTGGGAGTGCTTAATATAAAAAAAAAGTCTTTGTTCAGTTTTGGTTTACCATTAGATAGTGATAGTGAGATGAAGCCACATGAGGCATTGAACCACTTGAGCCAAATGGTTCGAGAAAGGGTTGATTTCTTGAAGCTTCATGTGCACACAAAACCACCGACTGGCCAGTTTGTTATTCTGCCAGAATAAACAGCGACTCCAAGCGCCTAAATGTGAAATAGCATCGACTAGACACGTTGACAACGTTGTCCCGCCCTTAGTTGAAACTTTGGCGGTGCTACTAACTTTACGCTTGTTGTATAATGAAAGAACCAGAGAGAGGGGCGGGACCGTCAGCACCAATTGGATTCTAATATCCGCATTAGTGCCTTCTCTATCCGGAACCCAGCGAAACTTAAAACAAGCGCGCCACAGTGACGCAACGCATTTGCTTTAAAAACGTTCTGGAACCAGGAAATAGCGTCACACAACAATAAGTCAAACCTGATTTTAAAATTTCCCGTTTGTATCCCGGAAAACTGTGATGGCTAGGAGAAAAAAACATATATTTTAAAGTAGTATGCACATTTGGTTGACTATTTAAAGATAGTTATGGCTTATATTTACTTAAGATCGGTGTATGCGACTTTTATACTTACACTTTCTTCGTACATTGAATTTGTCTTGATAAGGGGTTCTCACCACTTATCCTTACTGCCATGAAGTACCAATTTGCCTGTAATCAGTCATGTGACGTATTATGAAAAGCGAGAACCCGAGAAACATCACTGCAGTAGTAAAAGTGTTTTATAAACGCTTTTTATGGAGAGAGCCTCATGAGGAAAGTGGAGACCTTGATCTTCGTTGGACTCTAAAACAAAGCAGGTCAGAAGATGGAGAATAACGCATCCGAAAATCTAAACGTCCCCCCAGCATTGCTGGCTTGTAGGGAATCGGTACCTGGTTTGAGAGAACCACATCATGCGGCTGGAGCTGAGACTGCTGAACCAGAGAGGGAGGCTTTCTCAACGGATCCCAGTGATCGCTCCATCTCAAGCCTCTCTTCTTCTTTCTCGTCGATGTTTCAACCTCTTTCTTCATCTTCATCATCTTCCCGTGGCTCAGTCCTGTCTCTGTCGCCACCCTTGCCTCCTTCTGTGGAGCTTTCTGCAATCATGACAGACACCAGGCTGACCCTGGATGTTTACCTAGGAGGAGCAGCTGCGTTGCCCTTGGTATGGGGGTATGACCCTGATCATCTGAGGGGCATCAAGTACCTCAGACTGGGCTCCGAGGACAAACCTGGGCTTGATGCTGCACTGGATGTCCTTCCCCATATGACAGGGCTTCACTCTTTGGCCATCCGGGGTAACACAAAGCATCACCAACACATTAGCATGCATATTGCCATATTTTAGTATTTAGTTTGGACAAATTCTTCTCATATAATAACTAGCACTGCTTTGAGAAATTGTGATTTCGTCGTCTCTGGCAAGTTGATGTAACACAATCAAATCACAGTCTTGTCTCTACTTATTTTAGGATTTCAGTCGCAACAATCCTTCCTGTTAAAATGACATTGTCTGTTACCAGAGACAACTGAGAATAAAGATATCTAAAACTTTCTGGAACAAACTTCTGGAACAAAGAAGTTTGTTCCAGATATCTACAAGTTTTATCCTAATTATCTAACTGTCAACACATCTAAATTAGAAAAGTGACACCATTTATTATTGTAAGAAATATATAGATGTTTTAAAAATAAATATCAAAAATTGTTTGTAGACTGAACAAAACGTATTTTGGATAGCTAAAATAAAACACCTGCTCTGAAAATATTGCGTTCACTATCTTTTGTATTTACTTTTCTTTCTTAAAGGACATCGTTTTTATGACTCACGAGGTGATCCCCTGCCTGGATTCCTCACCAGTTTGCCAGACTCCACGTCAAATCTGTCTCACCTGAAATATGTGGATCTCTCTTTCAACCAGCTTACCTGTATGCCATCATGCCTGCTCCAACTGCCGGCACTGTCCATGTTGCTTCTCTGCCACAACCACATCTCAGCTTTGCCTCCAAATCTAGGCCAATTATCATCCTTAACCTACCTGTCTCTGATGGGGAATAAATTGGTGTCTGTTCCCCCAAGCGTGGGCCAACTAAAAGCGCTGCAGAGGCTCGATGTATCAAATAATGTTCTCCAGCATCTGCCTGATGAAATTGGTTTCCTGGGGGAGCTTGTTAAGTTGGAATTGTCTCGTAACAAGCTGAAATGGCTTCCAGAGAGCATGGGTAAGAGGTTCAGGGTGAATTACAATTTTAGATGTAGACCACTTTAGAAATAAACAAGACATTCTGTTTACTGGGAGTTAAGTTGTTGACGAGGTTTTATTTATTGCACAGGCTCTCTTGTTTCTCTCAGGGAACTAGTCATTTACAGCAATGAGTTCCGGGTAATTCCAAAATGTCTGAATGAACTCCCTCTGCTTACAATGGACGTTCGCGATAATCCTTTGGGAAAACCTCCGACGCCGCCTCCTTTGCCTCCCGCACCGGGTGAGCAAACATGAATTGGTTTATGCTCAAATTTCTTTTATTGTATCGTCCAATACACTTTTTGTATTGTACTCATTGTAATTGTCTTACCAGATCACCCAAAAATCCCAAAGTTGCATCTTAGATTCAACAAGCACAGGTACAGCTCTGCAGTAACATGATCAAATTTGTAAACTAACACTGTCTGCTTAAGCATTGCAGGAAGAATCCAAACATGTCCCTCTCCTTTGCTCTTTAGCTTCTTTGTTTCGTCTGCTGGTTGCCAAGTGTTTCTCCCAGGAGGGGCTGAGCTGTTGTTCCCCCCTGGATGCCTGATGACAACCACCAAACTCATGTGGGGTGAGAAAAGGCCAAACAGGAAGTGGGTGTGGCTGGAGGAACACGACATCCTCCTGAGTCGGCCCCTGGAGCTTCGTCCTCATGGTGTTACGTTTTTAAAGGTGTGGAAATGATTCGTTATAGTTTATTACATTTACACAAATTTCCAACAGACAAATTTGTTCAATTAGTTTGTACACCCTCTGCAGCTGCACAAAAAAAACATCTTGATTATGATACACTGTATGATGCAAATAAAAGATTTTCTCTTTAAAGAAAAATCTACTTCACACTATTTATTAGGAATGTTTTTGGGTTTCTCAGTTCATGTTTTTGTTGTTCAGCCTGTGGAGGTGTGTGTGCCGTATCATCGGACCAAACGAGGGGAGGTGGTGTTGCGCATGTTTGATGGGCAGACATGGAGCACTCTGCCCACTGAACTCAGGAGAGGAAGTGAGGAGCATTGTTGTCATCCTGGGGGACGTCCAGCCAGGGTAAACGAGAAAATCTGAAATTGATCCGTAAAGCTTGTTTTTCTATTTTAATGCAGATCATAGTGTTACTTGTGGAATAAAATAAGCTTTTATGTTTTTGTAGCTGGCATGTTCCTCTGTGAGCCACTTCTCTTGGTTTATGGCAGTGTCCAGACCGGTAAGGGATACTTGCTCTGTCACACCAGCAGGAGCTCTTCTGGTGTCCAGCTCCAACCCTGGAATAAAGCTTCACTTCCCTCCTGACTCCACTGCACAGACTCGCACTATAACCCTACAGGTGAGGTCAGCAAACAGCAGTGAAAAGAGCACAAACTTCTAAGATCCAAAACCAAAATTATTCCAAGAAAAATCAATGGGTGGCAACAGCCGGTTTGTTTTTGAACGCACTTTTCACTTGATTGTTTGATTTCAGTGTCATTGTGAGTGAAAAGTACAGAGTAAACCTTGTGGGATCCAAATGACCCATCTCTTAAGACCGCAGGAGCGTTAAAAATCCTCCCATCATCACACCGGACATTTGACAAACAAAAAATATCTCTTATAATAACAGGAGTCTCTAAAAGTTACTGAAATAATCATAACAATTCCAAATCCAAAAATTAATTACAAACTTTGGTTCTAAATTGACTTCAGTAGATCCTAAATGCCTAAAGAAAAAACTAAACAATAGAACTTGTGACTTACAAGAATTCAATGTAAATTGCCACAACAAGCTGGAACACCAGTGTTACCATGATCAGTCGTTGATGCGTCTCTCTCTCTCTGTAGGTGCTGCAGGTGTCTGAGTTTGAGGTGCAGGCTCTGTGTGGCGATCCTCAGGCCAGAGTCAGCCCCCTCCTCTGCCTCTCCCAGACTCCTACCTCACAGTTCCTGCAGCCAGTTAAAGTCCAGATCCCTCTGCCACCCGGAATCACAGGTTCCATTGGCCATCATGGTTTTCACATGCGAGCATGATCAGAATATTTTAGCATGCATTAACATTTACTGTGGATCCACAGGGCATGAAGCCGATGTGTCTCAATTACATGTGCTTCACGGAGATCCAGCTGCTCAAACCTGGACTGACATTACATCACAAGTGTCTCTGTATGTTACCCATCTGTACGCCATTTTCTACATTACCCACTTCTCCTGGTAAGCTGCTGTGCTTTGTTATGCAATTTCCAATTGACATACTTCAGATTGTTTGCTGGGGGTGTTGTAACTTTGGTTTATCTGCTCTATTACAGGTACTGGCTGTGGTACACTACGCAGCGTTGTGTTAGCGGGGTGGTCAGGAAGGTTTATCAACGGTTAAAACAATTTAAAGTCCAGTTTCTCGTCCTCCAGCGGAAGACGGATCCCGCTCAGGTTCTGCTGCAGTGCCTGCCTGCTAACAAGGTTTGGCATCTCACCTTTTGACTTTCTTTGGAACCTGAAGTATAGATGCTCAACAGTAATTGTGTGAGTTTTTTGCTCAGATGGAGGGCAGAGTTCAGTCTTTGTCTGAGCAATATGATGGACCTCACCCCTCAGACCTGTGTGACCTGCTGGAAGGAGAGCAGTTCTTCGCTGGTTTTGAGAAGGGCTTAGACATCGTCACAGGTTGGAATTCATCTGGGCTGCCATCAATGTCAAATTATGTGAGATGGGTAACATCTGTAAACATGTTTTTTTTAACATGTTTATTTATTTTCCTCAGACCGGCCGGATTGTGTTGAGGGGCGTCTATGTTTTGTGTTTTACTCCAGTCTGAAAAATGTGAAGGAAGTGTACATTTGTTCTACTCAGGGGCAAAAAGGGCCGGTGAGAGGACAGGTAAGAACCACAGAGCAGTGAATAACAATGAATATTACATTTATTAAAAATTTTTCTTCTATGTGTTTCATATATATCTCAACTTGACTCTGAAAGTGAAAATTTTAGTACAGAAAGGGCTTCAAATTTCAGCTAAAGGTTACTTAAGACTCCTGTGCAATTGTTGTCAAACAGATTTCTTTCTAGATGTCATCTTTACTGAACTTGGATATAATCTGTTTGGTAACCTATGATAGTGTAGGGAGGTGGGTGTTCTAATTGAAATATTTTTGTGTTAAGCTATAGTTGGCTCCCTTCTAAAGTTGTTAGGAAAATAATTTAATATTCTTTTACAAACATTCTGGGAATCCTTCATGCTGTTTGTTTCATTCATTTTCTCAGTGATCTCTGTCATATATTATAAAACTCTTATGCTGACGGTTTGTGCGGAGGATGTGATCTGTAATTCTATGGTACTTTAAACCTACTGAGATTTGCAAGGTGCTATTTTTGCATCTGCACAGATTGCAGGTGATATCGGTGAGGATTGCTGCTCCTGCTGCACATAATAAATCAGATTATGTCATTAAATATGGTGGTGTCCTTACGCTGGGTTTACCTGTACTTCTCCACTGACTGCCATTAGCAGCCAATATGAAACTGATACAATCAACTCATCGAAATGAAGAGAAAACAGGATTAAGCTCAGTCCCACCTCACCTTACATTATTTGGATGACGGGAATAAAGATAGACACTGGTTTTTCTCTTTGGAGTCCTTTCATGATACTTGCTTGCCGAGCCACAAGATAAAAATATATAGTTGCAGCTTTAAAAAACTTTGGACTGCAGGCTGTTTTTCAGTGAAGTCATTCTTGGAAGCTGGAAAGAGCATAAATAAGTGTGCTCTTAGGGTTGTGACTGAAACATGTCGTACTGTCGTTAGTGGGGTAAAGGTTGAAAGAGGATAACTTTCTGTACTTGTTTATAGGAAACACATTGCATAATAGGAAGTAAGTTAGATGAAGTGATTTGAGGCCTTTTGCACAGTTTATGTTCTCACTGAACCTAGTGTCTTTCTCTTATGACTTAATTTTGAATTTAAAGGGAAACAAAAATAGCAGAGTTTGAACAAATAGCTGTGGGGATGTTTGCTGAGCAAGTTGCAGTTTTTCATCTAAATGTTTGTGTTTGTAATTCTTTTTTCAGGTGTCATTCTACAGAGGGGAGATTCCCAGTGATCTGCCAGACAAAGTAGCCAAAAAGAGGAAAGGACTTGACACCCAGTGGCTCGCTACTTTACCATTAAGACTTCCTGTTAGTTAAAATGCCAGACATTGTTGCTTCCCACTTTTCACTTACACTGTTGCTTTTCTTTATCATGTTTCTATCTAAATTTTTTTACCTTTATATGTAAAATATTTGCAAAAATATTCACACTATTGTTTGAGTTGCTCTTCTTGCTTTTTGTTTAATCCACTGACAAAAATACAGCTTTTCTAAACCTTTTTGGCTTCTTTCTATGAATAATAGCACCACCTTAAGGGGAACATTTCCATGTTTCACTTACAGGCACTGAATTCAGACAACAGTTTTAACATGGAGGAGCTTCAATATCCTCCCCTGAACCTGGGTGACCCAGAGAGTGGTTACCTTACAGAAGCCAACCTGCTGTCCATCTCCCTGCAGATTGGACGGGACTGGCGTGTCATTGGTATTAACCTTGGGATGAGCTATGAAGAGTTGGACCGCATAGAGTACAAACATAGGTGAGAATAAATAGTTGTCTTGGATTACTTTAAAAATAGAATTATAATGTGTCTGACCTACAAAGATGTTGGAATTTTGTATTTTTTTTATTTCAGAGCTATGTGATATCAGAAAAATGTTAGATCAAAGCAGATCAGTTTGATTATGGATGATATAGATTTGAGCCTTTTTGGTTGAATCTGATTTATTTATGCACATGCAGATACTTTGTGAAAGTGGGATTGTGTTTCTTTTTTAAGTCAGATCAGTAACTTGTTTTTATGGTGTTTGAGATGTTTTCAATGTGTTTTTGTAAAACAGTGAGACATTTCTCCAGTGTTGGTAAAGGAAAATCTTTTGCTTTTATTTAAGAGATGTTTTGATACCACATCAACTCTTGTGATTGGTTGTTATCTTGCAGTTAGATGTTTAACTTCTCTTTTTAGGCAATATTCTCTTTTTATGCAATATTGATGCATTAAATTAGTTTAATGCATCAATATTGCATCAATATTGATGCAATATTGATTACTCCACTGTTATGTGATATACCCACACTGTTTTGTGTTGGTATGTCACATAAAACAAGTTTTATGTGACATACCAACACAAAACTGTTCAAATTTGTGAATTGGAAGGAAAATGTTTTATAGTTTTAGTAAATGTTTTGAAGTAAAACTCAAACAAGTGTAGTATACATTTGTAATTAACCCTGCTTTATCCTAAATCCAATTACTGCTCTAACTCAAAAGGCTTGCAGCTGTAATTGAGTTCAATAAAAACTCAATCAGAGGTCTGAATAGGCTACTCTTTTAGTTTCCCACCTTGCTCCCAATTACGCACTTCTTTAAGACATTCTATTGCATAAAGTAAAACTGAAATACATTACAGTTTTGAGTTGCAATTAGATAACATGTAAAAATCTTCAATTCACTTTTGCATATTCAAGATAATAATTGGGTAACAAAACGTGTCTTGATTGTGGAAGAGGTTGAAAGTCATTCAAAACTGCAGCTTAAATCTTGCTAGAATTTATAACTGCTGTAAAGGTAATTTATGTAATCAATGTGCAAACATGGTAAAAGAAAACCTCTGGAATCTAGGTAGACTGAGGTGGTATGTAAATACAAGAGAACCAGCAATAGGAGACAATTTTGATTGTTTTAATCTGCACTGTCAGCCATCATTGAGCCATCTGGGACACTGCAGGAGATTACACACAGGCTGTTTACTCATCTGGCCCTCCCCCTTCTCCTAAGCCTAAAAAACCCACTCATGACGCATCATGTAGATGGAAAAAGATGCGTTATGTAAAGTCAATGTACATTCCTGCTGTAATATCCTTACAGCAGGAATTTGGTGGTTATTGTATGGAGATTAAAATTTCTTACTTTTAGGGGGCCGTTTTATTTAATTACACCTCTGACTGCAGATTACACTAAATGATACATTGCTAGTGATTGAGTTGTGGACAGATTTATGCATGCATGGTGTATTTTTACACCATTCTTTTCCACTCAGGCAGCTGCAGCTGGCTGCTTCATAACGCAACATCTCTTGTTTGTGTTACTTGCCAGGGACAACCTGGGTGCCTTAGTGCTGGACATGCTGTTTCACTGGGCCCGAGGACAGAGGAATGCAGGACCTGGGTCAGTGTCCAGGCTCATGGCCGCTATGACAGAAAGCGGCAGGAGGGATCTGGCAGAGGAGATCGAGGACATAGTCAGTCTTGGAAGGAGAAAGTACACAGAGTCGCTGAAGAGAGTAGGTCTGGAAGCAGAGAGCTCCTCTGTTGGGGAAGCACAGCAGTAGATCAGCCCACACTGGGCGCAGATGGCTTCTTTACATTTGAGCAACCTGCTTGTTTACACTGAGGCCCCATCATCCTGTCCGGCTCTCTGATCAACTGTCATAATGTGCAAAACCGTCTGAGATACCAGCCTCCAAATGATGGGGCTTTTATAAGACTTTTTTTTTTTTAAGTCAACAGCATTAGGACCAGTTTCACGGTCGGCTGCCATTTTGAAGATTCAATTTAGAAAGCATAACGCTACTTCTAATGTAATATATTTGTATTTTTAGAATTATCCATAACTTTGTGTAAATATTTTTGACTCGGGGATCAAAATATTTCTGAAGTGCTTTTGACTGGCATCTACAATTGTTGAAGATCATTTGATAGAAAACTGGGATAATTGAGGGGTTTTTTTTGTCCTGAAAATTATGTTGGTAATAAAAAGAAATAATGCTCCAATGCAATTTACAAAATGTGACCATATGTTGTCATTTAATGATAATAAGTAATTTGGTTATTTATTAGCTCCCTATTATTATAGTTTATTAGCCAAATTTAAATGTTATGAATAATGATCACATTCATCTTCTGGAAAAGCCTACTCAAATTTCTTTCATAAATCTGATCGAGAATCTGTGAAGGAAGCTAAAGATTAAAATGATAGCAAGGAGGCCTTCCAACCTCCAAGAGGTAGTCATCACAGATAAATCCTCAAAATTGCATTGGTAACATGTAAAAGCTTTACAGCAATGATTAAAAGTGTTTACAGAAGTGTTTTCATTATTTATTCTACTCCAAACAATTGTCTTGATAATGTTTGTGGTAGATTTTTTTATTTATTTTAACTATTCACTATTGATGAAATAATGATCATCTGAGCTTTACAACATAAATTGTATGAGCCGGGTTTGTTTATAAAGCAAATGCAAAAATAAAAACACTCACTAATTATAAAGGAATTCCCATTAGATCATCAAGATCATCTTATGACATCCTAAATAAAAAAAGCAATTAGCTTTACAAACTTTTTTGTAAATTCTGCCAAGAAACATTGCACACACATCAAAATGAACTGTATGTTTTTGTCTTTGTTCTGTTTTTTTTTTTTTTTTTTACTTTTTAAAGTAAAAAAGATGCACTGACTGGATTGTCAGTGCATCTGTTAGACTAGATCACTGAATAGTCTTGTGAAATCCATGCATTGTTGGGCCGCATTCTCAGTCTCAACACCAATATAGCAGCTCTTGCCATTTTTATATTTTCATCCCACAAGGTCACTGTGCAGCGATGAATCGTCATGATGACGTAGGCTACCATCCCCCTGGCCCCTTACACCTTTACTGCGCTTGTGAAATGAATGTGTAATTCTACTATACGCCACTAGAGGTCTCATTCAATTCCCTGCTATGGTTTGCAGTAGCTTCTCTCTTTATCAGCCAGTCTGCTCCCCTCCCTCCCTGCCTGCCTGTCTGCTTGCCTGCCCGCTTGCTTTCACTCCCACCTCCTCCACTGGACTCAAATGCGAGTAATTCCCGTAGGTTACTGCTATTGGAGTATCAGTCAAATCCACAGAGTGAATCCGCATTGATTTCACCCCAGAATCACCCCGGAGGCACAAGCAGCGGAAACGACTCTGGTATGTACATAACGGGGGATGCTCGTTGACGTTTCCTTTGCAAAAAAATGTGACTGCTCTCCAGTGCAGGGAGTGTATATCTAGAAAATATCACCTGGAGATAACCGAAATACTTAGCCTAAATTTTTAGCTAGGTGTGCAATGAAGATAGCTGCATGAAGCAGTGGCTGGTTCTGCTGGGCTAAGATGCGCCTGACTATGAGGTTGTCATTGAGTAACGGGAAGGAAATCGTTTCCCGTCATGCAGTAAGTGTAGCAATTTTAAGCTAAAGCGGATTAAATATGCATACTCAGCAGCAACGTCGGCTTTAATATTTATCTAGAGAGAAATGGCTTATTAAAGTGTTATACCGGGGCCGTTAGACACGTACAGGTATATTGACTTTCCGTCTATAACACAGGAGCGGCTGTCATCTTTAAGGTTTTGGTTAGGCGTTTTTAGTTCGCTTGTTATCAGCATTAAACTGGCCATTCTTTCGTTTTGGTAGAACAAAAGAGGGAGATACTTTCTGATTGTAAATTAGAGTTCTCCTTTAAGTTGCAAAGTTCTTTCAAAATATACAAAATGAATAATCTCCCTCGGATTGTTTGATATTTTCTCAACATGCATTCATAAATCTCAGTATTTCCTGGACCACCTGACCTGCAAGTCGTTTGCATCATGGAACAGCTGTCTCCATCTTTTTCCATTAACTCTTAGTTTCATCATCTCTGCTGAATGAAAGCCTCTCCACAACATGAAGCTGGCACCGCCATGTCTGATGATGGAAATGACCTATTCAGTGTAACCTGGAGGATCAGTTTTGGGTTTTGATTGTTGGCACATGGATTGTGGCAAATGGGAAATTCTGATTGTTTTCTTTCCACAATTGAGCCCATGTCGGTTGAGTGCTGGTGAATACATCTCCACAGAATTGAAACTCCAGTTACCATAGTCCTGTAATTTTGGAGAGCTTAACTGGACAGCCATGACTTGGTAGGTGCGAAACTTGAAATATTATTTCATAAACTAAGCTTGATTTGAACTTGCGTGATCTTCATGAGGGTCTTTGTTTTCCAACATCTGAGGCCTTCATAGAACAGCAGGAGTTTGCATTGTTGCCTTCTGGATTCAAATCCCAATCCAGGGTCTTTTTGCATGGAACGCTCATGTTCTACCCAAGAATGGTGGTTTCTCTCCAGGTACTCCAGGCCTCCTCCCTTAGTGCAAAAATGAAAGGTTAATTTATTACTCTGTGCTACACAAAGTGTACACAAAGTGTTAGCTCTGTGTGTCTCTGTGTTACCCAATTTGTGACCTGTCTATATTCCACAACCAGCAGCAGCAGCTATATGACTGCATAGAAGATTAATACTAATATAAGCCACACTTCATTTGTAATGTCATTTTTCAGATATGCACTACTTTGCATTGGTGTAACACATAAATACCAGTAGATTACTTAAAAATAAAATAATTTGAAAAAAGTTAAAGTGGCATGCATACTTTTACAAGCTACTGTGCCATGAAGGGTCATTTTTCTGTAACCCAAGGCATCCACTGCAAAGGCTTCAAAGCCTTGTGAAACATACATATGGGAAATTTTTTCAGCTGAGCAGGATGGCAGAGGAACTTGCAAAAAATGATTTATTTTAAAACTGACACTGGGAGCCTTACTTGTACATATATGGAAAAGTTCAGGCTATAAGTGTAATAAAGCATTCTAACTGCTTGGAAATAATTGATGAGGTGAGTCATTCTTAGGTGTTAGGTGACATCCTGCGGTATCTGCTGGAACTGTTCAGCATTTTAGACCAGAGCTTAGAAAACAGCTTTACTATGACTCATCATACAAACCTCGTTTTATTTTACTAGCATGCACTCAAGACCAAAGGGATTTCACAAAAATGTGCTAAGTATCCCACAGGCAGGAGGTTCACTGCAGGAGAAGGATACTTTTGTATCATTCCTGTGTGAGAGTTGTACCTTCATGTTGCAGTCTGCTGCGATCTGCAAGCTGGAAGCAGTTGCAAAAGATCCATCTTTTTTTTTTCCCTCCACAGAATATATCCCCAGATGGTTTACAGAAACAAAGCCTCCATGTACTACCTGTGGAGTCGGAGGAAGGACCAAACTCTTCACCTTTCATCTGCACAAAGAGCCTTTTTCTAAAACATAAAAGCCTGACTCAACCTGATATCATTGGCCCGCAACAGGTGATTTCAAAAAGCACCCTGTTGTACTGTTTTAAAGCCTGCAATATGATCTCAGAGCAGAGAATCAGTGACACACAATGTGTTTCTATGCTCAGATCTCACTCTTTTGGCTCTAACAAAGGGTTGGGAGTGAGCTCTCATAAGTATGTATTAAGTTTATAATCCTGATGGTGTAGGGAAGAGGAAATGTTAATCAGATTTGACATTATAAGTGTTATCCCTTGGTCCTGCACTGCTATGTAAGACTAAAAATATTCAGTATCTCGTAAATATTTGCAGCACTGCAGTAAAGCATTAAAACAGGAGAACACAGATAAAACAGGAGAACACAGATGGATGTTAGTCTGGAGGATTATTAAAAGCATTCCTTTCATAAACAATACGAGCAATATGGACACACTGTCATGAAGCTAAATCAGATAGAAGATTTAGCATGAGTCATTTTATTACAATAGCCCTTTTAGATTACTTTCTGTTTATACCTCATGTCTACATTTTTTGGCCTTGGATCTGAGTAGATTGTGAAACCCTGAATGGTTGCTGTGACTGCCTTTTTATTTATTTTCTTGTACTTTACACATTATTTTATTTTGTATATATTTTTCTTTTTTATTTGTCTTTAAATGTGGAAAATGAAAAAAAAATCTATAATGGTGTAAATCACACTTACATATTTTCTTAAAAATAACGAACTAGTCAAGTCATATTTGCCAGCAAGAGCTGCCAAAAAAAATAAGCTTTGTACGTAATTGTGAAAATATTTTGGTCCTCTTTTCCTTGCAGAATTGTTTTAATTCAGCCACTTAAGTTTGTGGAATATTTTCCCAAAAGATGTGATTTAGGAAAATATGAGAATATGATGTTTGTATTAGTTTTTGCCTGGGAAATATTCCATGAATCACATTTTTGTTAGATCTCTTTCATAAGAATACTGATCTCTACAGAGACAAATAAATCAGACATCGCTTTAGATGTTCTTTTGTGACTTTAGTTAAGTCATTGGTGCGCTCTGTGGTGTAGCCACTACTTGTCCATTTGTAGATAACGGCTTTCAATCGTTTGTCCTGGAGTCCCAAAGTCTTACAAATGACTTTGTTTGTCATCTGTTCTTGAATATCTATAGATTTGATGTGTTTCTTTTACCTCCTTAATTCAGCCTGACATTAAGTGATTTCTTATTGCTAGACATTAGTCAGAAATCAAGCCTGAATTTGACTAAGGAGACTTAACCAAAACATAAAGTTAATCCCAATTATTATTAATTAGTAAGAGGGACAGGGGTGGGGCCTGTTTCTTTAATAAATAAATCATGATCATACTTTTGATTTTTGCTCAGTTATCTTTAATATTGCAAAGCTGACACATTTTTATAACAGTTCATATTATAAACAGTAATAGAAATATTAATAATACAATGTAGCTCTAAACAGATGGAACTTTCCATTAGATCTGACCTCTGTGATCTTGCAGCTCATAGCATTACCCAATATAGCTGCAGAAACACACTTCTGCTGTTGGGAGCTCAGTGTGCAGTGTGTTAATGGAACCAGCTCATGTGAGACAGATGAACTGGCATCTATTGCCTGCAATGAGCTAATGAAGAAGCTGCATTTGCTTTTCATTTTCTGTGCTGTCTTCCTTAGTCACATGGGTTCGTTTATAGTGCTGATTGCAACAAGGCTTTGTTGTCATAGCCACTCACTTCCTTGTGTCTTTAGCCAAACTTGAAAGTCATTCATTCACCAAGACCTTTACTCAGTCGGCACTTAAGAAGAGAGGAGCAGCACTGGAGCTTAGATTGAGAAGGTATTTGCCTCGGGCTGGTTGACTTGTGTGAAATTAAATATAATTTGCATTCAGTTTGTGTTGGAAATAAATCAAGAAGGAGTAGTCTGCAGATTCTTAAAGCTTGATTTCATCTCTTCATGGTGAGATACCTTAAAGCAGTAGCTCTTTCCAAAATTATCCAGGCATTGATCCTGTTTACTTTTCCCTAATGCATCTAAGTGCAGACGTGCATCTGTCCATTTACTTAGCTGCCTCTATTCACGACTGGCAGGCTGCCATAGGTCTTCTGCAATAGTAAGAAAATTAAATAGAGAAATCATCAAACTTTTCTAATAAAATAAGCAAATTATTCCACTTGAAATTAAATATATTTAATTTGAATCCACCTTATTATTCAGACTTAAAAACTGTGAACTTAACTGATGTCCATGAAACATGTTTATGTTTGATATGTTTAATATTAAATGTGTTTGCATGTACAAATTACTGTGTTTTAATCATTGATACTGGATGTTCTCTAACTAGCAGCTACACGTTTTCATATTTAGATGTCATATTATAAAGAAAGAGTTAACAGTCTTTTTGAATAACTTGTTCAGATGAACAAGGGTCACAGACTGAACTGCTATCTTTTTCAGTGCCTTCATTGTGTGTTAGCTCTTTAATCAGCTTCATCCAATAGCTGCTTTAGTAGGTTGGCTAAAGTTAAGTTCAAGGTTCTGGACTGGTTGCATAATCACTTATTGTGTACTCATCAGTACTTATCAGCTCCTGTGGTGCAAACATTAAAAAAATGACCTTTGTTTAGAAATGTTCAAGAAGGTGAGATTTTTTTAGGCCTCACATGAACTGCTCATAATTTTAGGGGCAGATATACACAGTTTTATTAACTGGGTGCAGAATTTGTACTGCAGTTACTTTCCATTCCATTGTCAAAATAGAGACAATATATACAAAAAAAATAAATGAATAGGAATAAAGATAAGACCTGTTAAGAAAGGCTTAATAGGACCCATCAGAAGGTACGTAGTGATCTCATTACATGCTGGAGGTTTTATTTAATGTTATGATGCATTATTTAACATCTTATACACAATAAAGTGGACACCCAAGAAATTTTTTTTTTATTGTGGCACAGACTTTGTCTCGAGTTTGATTTGATAAAGTAAAAATTTCTGTCCGTTTTGAGTGCAATAGCATCAAGATCTATCAAACCGCCACTCTGTTGTTGGTTTTAAAGTGCTGTGTGGTCAGCTCACTGTGCCTGAAGTTTATCTCAGTTTGTCAAAAACTGGATATTTTGCAGCATTCAGCTTGATGTATTTATGCTCCAGTTCTGAGCATCATTGTTACTCTGACACACGTTCAGTTATAAAGCAGTTCAGTGAGATTATAACAGATTCCTTGCAGCCTTGGTTGATGACGAGTTCCTTCTTTTTTTTCTGTAGACACTTCACAGTGGACCTAGTTGTGTCCAAAAACAGAGTCTGATTGTTGTGACAAGATACTGCAGCCAGGCTTGGGGACAGTCCAAGCGCAGATGCAGTCGTGTGGATTAAAGTCGACAAGTAATGTTGATGGCGTGGTGGAGAAGGATGGAGATGTCAGCTTCATGCTGCATCTCACAAGGTGACAGGAATCTGGACTACTGCTACATTTAGTCTTTGGTGCGTGGTTATTCAGTGGTCTAAAAAAATGAAGTGCTGAGTATGGAGTTAACACGTGTTTATTCATGGGGAAGTAATTGTCAGAGAACAGAAACCAAAAGAACATACTGTGAAAGGAAAATTTAGGCTAAATGTCACTGCTATGAGAGAAAACAGAGCTAGATGTGCAGCAGAGACACTCTCTCAGTGACCTCCTCTGAACTGCCTTTCTGCTCCTCCTTCCTCCACCCCTGGAGCAGCCATTAAAAGCCTCCAGTCCCCCATCCACCTAAACACGCCAGATGCTGCTGTGCTCAGTGCCAGCTAAGGTTACCATGAACCTAAAACTTTCACTTCTGCTGTTGAGACTTTCTTGAGAAAGAAGATCTGGGAGAATTTAGGACATTGCAGTTAGCGTGTGCACACATACACTTCACACTGCAAACCCACCAGTCAGCAAAGATCTGAGATGCAAAAGCTGCGTTTACTGAGTCGTGACTCGTGACTGAGAGAGAAACGTTGGGGGAGGGATGGTGGGAAGGAGAGAGGAGGAGAGCAGAGGCAGGTTTTGATTGGTGTATGGAGGGGTGGAGAGGAAAAAAAGGGGAAATTGGAAGCATCTTTTCACAGTAAAGACCCTCTGCGTCAAAAAATAGTGACACACATCTTGGATGTCGTTTTTCCCCCCCCCTGTTTGCTCTGTGCATGCTACATCTGAAGCAGACAGCTTTAGCTGTGCTTGTTTTGCTCCAGTTTCCCAGCGAAAGTGTGTTTGCATAAAGCACGAGGCTTCAAGGTCACATGATGAACAGATGCTGTGGTGGTTAGAGTTGTTTCACCGAAGCCAGTACAGCTTTATGTTAAGAAAACTGTCAGAAACATTTTCTTCTACAGCAGGACTGCTTACAGCGCTCTCTGAACTGTAGATGTTCAGAGAGGAAATTATTCAAAATGTCTTTGTTATGACAATTTGACATGAACCAAGAAATCATAATCTGACATAAATTTTTTATAAAAGTATTTCTGATTAAACTTGAAAAATTATGTAGCTTCATGTTATTAAAGCTAAAGATTCATCAGTAATACTTTTATAACAATTTTATGTCCGATCATAATTTCTTGGTTAATGTCGAGTTGTCATGACAAAGACATTTTGAATAATGTCAACTTTGTATTAAAAGAGTCATGATTTACTGAATGACACTTTATGACAATAGTCATAAATATTCATGAAGACTTACTCATGTTCATGACAGGTGTTTTGTCATGTTTATGACAGTGTCATGACAGTCTTATTCACAACCTGTCAAAAAAAGTGTTACCTAACAATTTTTGTGCATTTTGTTTTTGAGTTTTTCATTACTCCTAGTTGAATAGACTTTAGAATCACTGCCTACTTCGTGCTGTTTTAGTGCTGGTTGCAAAAGAAAATCTCTTTTGAAATGTTTGTTGTCGGTATGCTGGTTCTGTTTTCTGGACCAGCACACCAGCATAGAAGGATATTTCTCTATCAGAATCACTTTACTCAAGCAGGTTTTTCTCTCTTTTCTGTCAGACTCACTTGAAGTAACAACAACTGGAGTAAATCGAGTGGAAAAACAAAGGACCACACCACTTTGTCTCACTTAGATAGCAGAACACCACTGGAATTATCATCTCAAAGAAAATAAACATCTCCAGAGTGAAAAGCTAACCAACGTGTTTTACTACGACCAGCCGGGGGTTCAGATAAATGGCTGATAAAAAAATCAGGTAAAGATAACTGGGAATCATTATATTTTGATGATTTTGTGATATTTTATTTTTCCTTTAATTCTTGTGACTTTTTTTCTTTGGTCATGCAGTTTGCCTGCCAAATTGATCAATGGAGGGATTGCTGGGATTGTCGGAGTGACCTGTGTGTTTCCCATTGACCTGGCCAAGACTCGCCTGCAAAACCAGCAAAATGGATCTCGCCTTTATACCAGCATGTACTGTATAGAAGCTCTTGCCTTAAATCCCAACAGAGTTTACGGTTGTGCCAGCCGTATTCAGAAATGATCAGTGTTGTCTTGCAACTTGCCCAACAGCACATGACCCCTGTCATTGTTGTTGTTTTCTTTCAGGTCAGACTGCCTTATTAAGACCATTCGATCAGAGGGGTATTTTGGGATGTACAGAGGTATGTCGAACACTTTTACTTTGAACTCTGAAACACACAGTTTTTCTTAATGACTTTCTGTTGTTTTTATCCTCCCAGGAGCTGCGGTGAATCTAACACTGGTTACACCAGAGAAGGCTATCAAATTGGCTGCTAATGACTTCTTCAGGCATCACCTCTCCAAGGATGGGTGAGGCATCAAAGAGCCTGACTTACATTCACTTTCTCCTCTAATTCACTCTGAAGATTATTGCCGTGTTTGCTAACATATCTATAGTCGAACATATTAGCTGCCTGCACTTCCACCCCAAGACTCCAGTTAATCCTTTACCTTTTTGTCCTCTTCTTGAATACTCAGAGGAGTTTAAGACTCTATGAACTGTGTGGCTGATAATGTGTCTTATAAAAGACACATTATTTATATCCCTTAAATTGTACCATATTTTGCCACATTACAACTATAAATGTCCATGTAATTCTCTGTAGCATATGACTGTTCATTCCCCTTTACATTTCTGGATTACTTCATGTGGCTTGTCACATAAGTACCCAATAACATACATTGAAAATTGTATTTGTAAGGTGTAGAAGAGTAAATAACCCAAAAGTAGTTAAACAAGTATTAATACATTTGCAAGACACTATTAGTAAAGTCAGATATAATATGTGCCAGAACCTTCTTATCAGAAATCTGGTCACCAAGTGACAAATAATGGTTTCATATCTCAAACATTAGCAACGATGATCTGGTTTTACTGAAAGCAAGAAACCATTGTCCACCCCTAAAAGCTGCATGCACCGATAAACCTGAAGCTTTCAGGACATCTATCTCAATCTCCATGGAAACAAACATGCAGGCTGATGAATGATTGACTTGTCTGGTCCCAGTTGCTCTTCTTGTGAATTATTAATCTGTTCCTGTTTCTGACATGTTGATACAGAAGACAAAGATTAGCATCACAACAACAAGCATTTTTCTGCTTTCAAGGAAGTTAAGAAATAAAGTTGATGTTTGCATTTCATCTTTCTTTTCCTCCTCAGAAAGCTCACTCTGGTCAAAGAGATGCTGGCTGGGTGCGGAGCGGGTTCATGCCAGGTAAATGAGGAATACGCTGGTGTAGCTTAAATTGCACCCTACTTTAGCACACTCAGGTTGTCTTGGGCTGCTGCCTCATTTGTCTCTGTCCCTGCAGCTGCAATCAGCCACAACCACATTATCGCGGGACATGGGAGTCAAAGAAACACGTTTAGAGTCTGTAGATGGTGTGATCTGGGTCTGATAGTGTACTGTAATGTTCTGTTCTAATGAGAGATCTACAGTAAGGCTGTGCTGTGAGCAGGAAGATACACAGCCAGCTGCGTAGATGTGTGTGATCACATAGGAGACATTGTGAGAGTGCTTAGCCGTGTGTGCTGAGTGAGTGAGTCCGAAGGAAATGCTTCTCGTCAATGAGGGCAAAGACTTCAAGCCTTAGGACTGTGATTAGATTAAGAGCAGCAGATCTTGGATTACAATCGCAGCTGAGAATGTGGTCGTCTCACCCTTAATCTAGTTAACTAGTTACTATGGTGTAGCGACAGGGAAGGCCAACGCTTGACATTGAGCCAATTGGTGCCAGTAGATTTACACCAGATTTACACACACTCTTAAATTCATTACTCCTCGTAATGAATTCAGTATTTATCTAAATCGAGCTGAGTGAAAAAAGTGAAAAGTGAAAAAGTCTTCAGACCACATTTGTCATTTTGCAACTATCAAATTTGATCTTTTTAATTAAGATTGTATTTAAAAAACCAACTCTAAGCAGTGCTTAGTTGAAAACTGGAAGGAAAACAGTGAGGGTTTTTCAGAAAGCTTCACAAATAAAACTGTAATGTAGTTTTATTTAAATCTCCTTTATTCCAGTCCACCTAAATAATTTAGTTTAGTTATTTGAAACCTTTCTCAGTATAAATACAGTAGTTTTGTGAAAGTTTTAAAGGATTTCTAGAGTATAATCATGTTAAACAGTAGTGTGAAGACCAAGGAACACAGCAGATAAGTCATGGTTAGAGTTATGAACAAGTTTGAAGTAGGTGTTAAAGGATTATTTTTATTAATCACCAACTGTAGTGCTCTGTTAATCCAAAATTTGAAGAAACCTCAAACATAAATGATTATATGTGCAAAATTATTGGGCAGCTATTATTATACAGAATTATTGCACATCTAAATAAAAAAAAAACACATTTTCTCGCCTCCTATTTTATGTTATAGTGAGAATTATAAACAGCTTAAAGTTTTCCCATAAATATTTTTTACTAAAAAAAAAAGAAACACTGACAAATGTAGCCCTCCTTATCTTAACAGTGATAGGGCTTTTTCATTTATGAAGTTTGTCAATTTTCTTGTTGCTGATCAACGTTTTATTCAGTTACCAAGACGCTTCAGAGAGATTGAACTGCCTAAGGTTTTAGTTAAGTTCAGGTGAGGCAAGAACTGGTCGTGTTATAAGTGTTTCAAATTTGGCGCCTTTAATTTAATTGGGTTCATTGTTTTGCAACAAAATGATACTCTTTTTGAACGATGCAGATTTATTCCTGTCCCTCTGCTTTACGAAAGTGTCTTTTAAAAATTAGCAGTAGGTTTGGGGGTTGATTTTGAATCCATCTTCAAAATCAATCAATCAGAAAAGGTTCCAATAACACATCTTTAATTGTATCACCCCATCCATACCAGTACCTGTAATTTGAAGTGGATCACTGATCCAGTCATGTCTCCATCCTTCTGGTCCGTAAAGAGACATAAAACCTTTGATAAATCTGATATTTCTTGGCTCGGTCTTCATCTTTGTTAGTGGTGGTTGAGTTTCAGCCCACCTGACCATGGCCATGTCTCTGAGCTCTAAACATCTTATACTTCTAGCTATTAGAATCAGATTGTAGTTATAGAAAAGGACAGTGCTAAAAGACAATGGCTTCCTTGTATCTTAACACTTGATTCTTCTTTTCTTTGTCAACATGTTTCTTGTGACCCTGTTGACTATTTGCAACAAGACATCTGATAGTTCTGTGATCACACCCTGATATCTTATACATTTCAAGAGTCTTCACTGCTCTGACAAACGTTTGGTAATGTTTGACTTTTCAGAGTTGGTTAAATCTCTTTTTTGGCCCATTTTGCCTAAAGAAAGGAGCTGCTTAAAAATGATGCACACCTTGATATAAAATGTTGATATCCTTAGGCAACACAATCTTTTATTACGAGGTTACACATCACCTGATATGCTTAAATGCATTAGGCATCCAAGTGTATCCAGCTTGGAGCTAGAAAATATGACATACTGAAAATACTGACTTACTTAATAAATGTTGATATAGTGTATAGTATTAAATCACATTTCAAGGTTTAAAAAATTTAACAGAGCTTCATTAAATCTAGCAATCAAAGAGTATAACACACCTGTTAACACTGCAAGACATGGCCGTCCACCTAAACTGTGAACTACACACATCTGCCCTTAAGAAGAAATATAGTGTTGAAAGAAACCCATCACAATTCTTATAGGGAACACAGCAGATGTAAAAAAGCTCTGGTCAGATGAGACCATAATTTTGCATTGCATGTTTGAAAACTAACTCTGTTCATCGCCCTTAATTCACCACTATGTTCTTGAAATATGGTGATGGTAGCATCTTGTCGTGGGAGTCTTTTCCTTGAGCACTGGGAAATCAGTTGAATGATGTTGAGAAGATGAATGAAACAAAGCACAGGGAAAAGCAGAATACCTGCCACAGCCTACAAGAGACTTAATACTGGGTTGGAGGTTCACCTGCCAACAGAACGACAACCCTAAACACACAGTCCCAGCAACAAGGCTGTGGTCAAAGTCTAAACCTAAAGCCAACTGAAAATTTGATGCTCTCCATCTGTTCAGGTTAAAATTGAGCAAACTTGACAACAAGAAGATGGAAAATGGCAGTTTAAATGTACAGAACTGGTAGAGACGTACCCCAAGACTTGCAGCTGTAACTCTGGTATTAACTCAGGCGGACTTAATACAAACTGATGCCAGACGTAAAAAACATATTACCATACCTGATCCTTTCAGTTCTTGATTATAAGCTGATTTGTTGTGGTCTATCAGGTAAAACTTTAATAAAATAACTTGAGAAATGTGATACTGACTTGACAGAATGAGGAAAAGTTCAAGTAGCACTTCTACTTTTTGAGAGACAAAGCTTGTGGTGCATACGTGGATGCTTTATTTGACACGGTTTATTTCTGATTTTTCACAGGTCATTGTAACAACTCCTATGGAGATGTTGAAAATCCAGCTGCAAGATGCAGGGAGGCTTGGTAAGAGGAAATTAGACATATTTTACAAGATCACAGCTTTAAGTGTCATTAGGAGAGAGCGCCCTCATGTGGTGTTGTTAGAGAATACAAATACACATTTTGTATTGGATAGCATTAGGAGGTTGAGATGTATTTTGCTTCTCATGGACTTCAGCTGCTCAGAGGAAGCTCATGCCAGAGACGGTGGCAGCAGGAACAGTGGAGACAAAGTCCCCGACAGCCATGCAGATCACTAGACAATTACTGAGGGAAAAGGGTATTGCTGGACTCTATAAGGGCCTTGGTGCCACACTGCTCAGGTAAATTAGTGACAGTTTCTAAAACAAACTGTGGCGCATTTTCCTTGTCCAGGCCTGACTCTTCTTTTTGTTGCATAATCAGGGACGTTCCTTTCTCCATCATCTACTTCCCCCTTTTTGCTAATCTGAATAACCTGGGGAAGAAAGACGCCGGGGGCACCGCTCCTTTTTACGTGTCGTTCATATCAGGCTGCGTTGCAGGAAGCACAGCGGCTGTTGCAGTCAACCCTGTTGATGGTGAGCTGCCATGTTTTGAAGCATTTTCAGCAGCATACTCACCGATACTTGACGTTTACAGTCTAACCTGGGCTTCCTGAATTTCAGTGATAAAGACTAGACTTCAGTCCCTGACTCGAGGAAGCACAGAAGACACGTACTCTGGAGTGATCGACTGTATCAGGTGACCTCATTATGTCTGTACAACTTAAGCAAGTGTGAAGTCTTCATCATTATCTCTGCAGGCAGATTATTAATGCTGCTCCTTTGTTCTGGTGCAAGTAATGACTTATGTCTTCTCCAGAAAAATCATGCGCAACGAGGGTCCGTCAGCCTTCCTGAAGGGAGCCTACTGTCGCGCCCTGGTCATCGCACCTCTGTTCGGCATCGCCCAGGTCGTCTACTTTCTGGGTGTGGGCGAATATATCCTCAGCTTCTTGCCTAAGAAAAACAACTAAGACGCACCTCTCTTCTGCCTTCCCTCCCATGATGCATTACATCAGCTCCACGAGGATTCGTCTGATTCTTAGAGGTTTTTATTTTTATTTTTGATCTCATTTATTTTTGTTTTTAAATTGTTGTGCTGAATGTTTAAAAAGTTCAGAGGGGAGCCTTTGTTTTGCCAAGATGCCTGTGGCAGCGCACAAGTTTCCAGTTGGGAAGCTCCGCCACAGCAGCTTTCTGGAAATCATGCTACAAACAGAGGTCTGTAATTAAGTGATTTTATTGTACTTTAAAATATGATTGTCAAACTTAGCAAATTAGATGTACTGCCCTTGGCTGTAGCTGCTTTACAAGCCATTCAGTAATGCTCTTTGGAGGCTTCATTACCCTTTTAATGTCAGAACATCCTGTTTCATTCAATGGGAAATTTCCATTTTCCACTGACCTAAATTGAGCAATAAAGTCAAAATCTTCTGTTAGAAACATATAGAAAATCTGGTGTAGGCATGGGCCAGTATGAAATTCTCATGGTATGACAAAAACCATGTTATTACTGGTTTAGACATAAATTCTGAAACAATTCATAAAATTCTTTTAATTTGAAGTTGAAAATCAAACAAGTATTGCTACTCCTGCTAAAATTATACTACAGTGAGTTATAATATTGTTAAATATCAAATATTTTATGATTAAGAATATTCATATTTTATTGATAAATGGACACAAGCAAATATGCAAGGATTTAGCTTATTATTATGCAGAACATAAATTATACACATACTTTTGTGGTTTTGTTGTTTAGAGAGAAACTATAGGGTCTGATAATGTTATTAGCTGGTTAATTAGATAGCTAGCCTGCAGCCGGCTGCTGAACAGACAAGTGACAGGTGGAAATCAGTTGGCTTTCATGAACAGCAAATTTTGTTCTTTCTTGAACACAAGGGCAAAAGATCATGGCCTTTTTCAGCTAGCTGACCAACAGCGTGCAGATTTAGTTTGGGGAGGAGCTTTGAAAAATGTGTTGTTATTTCCGGTGCTCCTTCTTGACTTTTAGTTGAAATAACTGTAAATCTTCAGTGAGTTTTAAGCTGTAACTTTTTAAAACCATCATAATACATTGATTTTAGTAACCAGCCCATGCCGAATCTGGAGCTTTAGTGGATCACTTAAAAAAAAGCCACACAGTTTTTATGTAATGAGAGAATACTAAACAGTGGGAGTCTGGTTCATGCCAAGTCCCAGGGCAGCGTGTTGATGCGATACCAGCTCACTCCCTGTAATCTTTCCAGGGAATCCACTTCCCTCTCCCTGTACAGTAAGTGGTTGTAATGAACTCAGCGGTTCAGCTCTGAGCAGGCTTTGATTGCCTTGGCTTTTTAAGGAGATCAGGTTCCATTTGATATTTAGCTTAGCCACAGTGGTTCGACTGTTTGGCCTCCGAGAACAATGTCTGTTTTTTGTTCTCACACCATGCAACTTCACACAGTAACTATGTGTTGCTGAAGTTTAAATTTGAAACAAAATCACAGTTGAGTGATCAACGAGGGGATTGCTTTTGAGCTTTAAGACCCTTGTGTGCTGAAATATTCTGCAATCTGTGATTTACTGTGGATTTCTAGCTGGTCAGACATCATGTTGTGAAACCCGTAGGCGCAGACTTATTGTTTTTCTTTTTTTGTTTGTTTGTATACACAAGAGTTTGCTCTTCATTTTCCAGCTTTGTCCAAACTTGCATTCAGTGGCAGGACCCAAAGAGCTAATGAAAAACCTTTTCATTTATTTGAAAAGTCAGACCAGAGCTCTCTCAGTGATGTGCGATTTGTACCAAACATTTCTGCTTGTTTGCTTTAGAGGTTTTGTTTGCTTTAAGCCACCGGGTGTAAAAAAGAACAGTCCTGTCGTATCTTGTTTACGCAGCACAACATTGAGGCGCCCTGCCATTGGTGTATTTAGTCGGAGATCAAGGTGACTTTGATGTGTACTATCCAATCACATTCCTTCCTTGCTCCCACTGGTCAAGCAGCTCTTCACTTGTTCTGTTGCACTTCTGATGCAACGTTTTCAGTGTGATTAAATTTGTGGGAGTGAGCTTTATTTATAGATATTCCCTCCTAGAAGCAGTATGGTGTTTTATATTTGTATGTTTGTTTGTTTTTTTAGTGTTGTATTGTCTACTTTGTTATCTATATTGTACATATTGAGATGAAATGAACTCTGTTTTAGAATTTGTTTTTGTACATTATGGCTTATTTGCACACCTACCTCTCCTCCTCCCCCATTCAATCCATATTGTGGTAATTTTATGTTCGGAACATCAAAGATTTTTTTTATTACTGTGCACCAACACTAGCTGATCTTCAGATGAATTTTTTTTTGGGAGGTGCCATTTTCCCTGGACTATGAGTTGAATCTGTGGGTTCAGCCATTTGTTGTAACACAGGACCAAATGAAGAATCTAACTGCTGAAGTTTAATTTCAAGTGAATGGCATAATGATAAATAAATGCACATGGAGGAAGACGAGCTCGAAGGAAGCTGTTATGTCAACGTCTGAATGGTGCGTCTTCTATGAGGCTGCTGCAATATATGAGAGGCTGCACTAAAAACCGAGGCGGCTAAACTCAGCCTCTCTCCACGTCTTACTGTAACCGAAAGCCATAAATCAGGGAGGAGACCGCTAGACACCAAGTGGAACCTTTCAACAGTGGAAGCAGACAATAGGGAGGTGAAAAGGGCAAAAAGACCCACCAACTCATTTAAACTTGCCTTTATTATTAATATTATTTTCTTTGACATTCCGACTTGATTTTTTATGCATTTCTGTTCAGAAATTTATATGCAGTTATTGGGATGGATTTAATTTAACTTTTCTTTTTCCAGGTTGGAGAGATGATACTTTGTACAACTATGGTTTTTAAGAACAATAATTGGGTGCTTAGTATAGGTATGGGTCTAAATCCACATAGGGTCAAAATTATACATTGCATTGGTTAAATGCTCCATGAGACAAGCAGCAAAGCAGACCCTTACAAAAAAAAATCCCATAAAAATCCCATGTGCCACATGAAAGCCACACATGTGGTTCGCACAACTTTTCACATATGAATCACATGTGAAAGCACATGTATATGTGAGTTTGGAACATTTTGTGGTATGCACATGAACTAAGGCACATGTGATGCACATGGGATACACATGTGATGTCCAAGGGAAAAACATGGGAATCACATGGGTTTTTACCACAAAATATTCCAAAATCACATGTAAACATGTGAAAATTTGTGTGAACCACATGTGCTTTTTTATGAGGTACATGATTTTCAGATGTGATTTTTACATGTAAAATGAATGAGATTTCTTATTACATATTCAGTATAATCACCGAATCTTCACAAACAATCTGATCAGATGTGGTGCACATGTGTGAAATATGTGATCACATGTGATACCATGTTGAATAAACCATGGATCACATGAACAAAATGTAGAAAATGAGAGCCACATGTGGAACATGGGATTTTTTTGAAAGGGGACTCTTAGCATGATGCTGCCTTGGTGCTATCAGGGATGTCACATTGACTCCACCGAGCCTTTTTTTTAGTGTTGTGATAAAACTATACATTTCTGGAAAGGCCTTGATATCAACTCTACTAAAGATATGAGAGTAATTCTTTAATGTGGGAACTTAACAAGCCAATAAGAACATTGATCAGATATCTAGAATTATGCCTGAAGCTTGTTGAAGGTCTTCGAAAACATCTAAGTGACTCAAGACATTTTGCCAAATATACATAATGAGAAACAGAGAAAATTCACGCTGTTTTAAAAACTGTAAAACTAGTTTTGAGATGTATTATTGTTCCAACCTGGAAAAGAGAAGAGCTGAAATGCATCATTAAAAGCCCAACGTTAAACATTTCTGCTCTAAGTAGGTGAATGTAAAGTTCTGTCCAGAACCCGTATGCTGTGATTATGGTGAAATGATCTGTTGTAGTGTTGTTGATATTACTGCTTGATTTATTTTCAAACCTCATCCCTCCTCCTTCTCCCTCTTTAGATTGTTTTCATCAGTTTTCAGCTGAATCTTGAAATTCTTCTTGCTTTCTTTTGTTTTGTTTTTTATGCACCTGTGAATTGTTTCACCGACCTTGTGCATTTGGTTGTGTATGTGCGTGTGTGTTAGTGTTGCGTCTGATAGTGTAGTGCTGTAGTTGAAGTGTAGTTGTTGGTGTGCTATGGTTTCTCTTTTTTTTCTCTCTCTGTTTACTCTCTCTGTGTGTTTTATTTTTGTCACAATCCTCTGCCAGTATGCAGGTTGTGTGCAGAGAAACTTCTAAAAACACCAAATGTACTATTCGGAGTGTGTACAATCGAGAAAGCACAAGGGACTTTTAGGTATAAGATAGCACATGTTTCTCTCTAAATACTCCACAAGCTGTTTTGGAGAACATGTATCAAAGTGATTTATTTCTTTGAATCTGTTGCTATGAATTCCTGTATAAAAGAAACATATTTATCTGCAGTGCTAGTCAGAACTTTGCGTGCACTCATCAAATCATTACACTTAATTATTTGAGTTGAGGTTTTGCCTGGATTCCGAAAGGTAGTGATGCATTGTCATTTGGGTGCACAAGTTTGAATTCAATTTGATTAGGTGACATTTTTAAACCTTTATTTCTGTTAATTGTAAAAGTTGATGAAAGATTGTCCTTTAATTTCTTGCAAGATTAGAACATTACATTGGACCAGTACAAAATGAAGGTGAACTACTTGCAGTAATCAGACGTCTGGCTGAAATCTAAGTGTTTTTGACTATTTTAACAGACACATTAAAACTGTTTTTTAAAGATGTACAGCAGGTTAATGTTAAGTTTTTAGAAATCCTTGACCTCAACTATATAGAAATTTTTTTTGCAGTGCTAATCTTGAAATTAAATAAACATTTAATGACATTGATTTGACCATCATCAAGAAGTGAGGTCAAAAATCTAGGCAGAAACATGTCAGACGCTATAACAGTCATGCTGTCAAGGTGCAAGTAGCGAAGAAGATAATGGGACTCAAATGTAAATTTTTTCACCCTGTGTGGGCTAGAAAAACAATCCATGATAAATTCAAACTTGCTGTTTTTAAAAGACTTTAAAGTTGTATAATTACTCCTCCATGTGCAAAGATTAGTTTCAGTTAATCAGAAAGCGTACCCAAATTATTCGGAGTGTATGCAAACATCTGACCAGCACTCTGTATTTATCTATGTCTGTAAACCTAGAGGGCTGAGACAGAGACCCATATGATAGTGTCCACTATGTTAGCTATAAGCAGTAAGCCACAAGATGTATATCGCCTACATATTCTATATGAATCAGATATAAGAATGTAATATTATGAGATGTATTATAATTATTGTGAAGAGTTTATAACATTTTAATCTAAAGATTTGTGCTTTACACTTTCACTGAACAATTCATGAGCCAGCTTACTGTTATGCAATAAGTAGCCACACACACTTGGTCATTAAGAGAGGAGGCACTGAATACAATCATGTAATCACAGCATCAATACACACAGAGAGTATTATTATTGCAACCATGAAGCTCAGAGGCCGTTTGGACTCTGCGCTCACCTCACCGCCCTTGTTCTCTTCCTCCAAGAGGAACTGTGCAATGAAGCACTTTAAAAAACGAGGACCCCCGCCTTCGATCTGCTAAGCCTCTCTATCACAGAGGCCGTTTATGAGGTAGTGTGGTGAAAGGCACAGTTGTCTGTTAACATTTGTCTGCAACGCAGTGGAAAAGAAAAAAAAATGTGTTCTGTGTCACAATTTACTGTTCAATAAACTGACTGTCCTTAAATTGCCCGTTGTAGTTGTCTGTTCTGAAGGTTGCGAGCCTTCCACTCATCACTGTATCTGCTTTCAAGGTCCAGCAGTTTTTTGACAGAATACAAAAGAACTGACAGAGTGTGTTTGTCTGTAATACTGCTGTGGAAACAGGAAGGGGAATGGTTTTGAGGAGACCAAGGACGACTGTGTGACTCCTCGAGGGCATCTGCAGTAGCTGCCTCATAGCCACTAGGTGTCACTGTGGGACTGCGGAGGAGTTTCTGGGAAGAGAGTGAGCGTCACCATCAGGCACTACAGGTGTCTGCTCATTTTTAGGTGGTGTGACCTGTAAATCACACCTTCTACCTGCTTTCTCTAATTTTGTTCCCTAAAATATGCAAACGTCTACACACTGGAGGATTAAACACAAATGCCCTTCTTACCTGAGCTCCTTGTACTTTTGCTTGATTAATTAAACCTGTCTAAAAACTGAAAATATGCACAAAAATTTGCTTTCCACCACATGTTTGGTTTTTGACTTAACAGATCTCTTAAGAGGGGGTGCTCATTCATTTTTAATCCTGTTTTATTTATTTATTTATTTATCCAGCATTGGTTCATGGTGTTAGCTTGCAGAGTGCTATTTTGCACATCCCTGCAGCATTATTACATCATAGCACTTTCATGTAACCCTGGACGCATACACACACACACACATGCACACGCGCGCTCCCTGCAGTCTCTGTGCGCTTCTGTCTTCCTCATTTCTGTTAGAGTCAGATTTCATATTGAGAGACACCTTTTGTCAGACCATCTACTCCAGTGTTTACTCGTTCACACACAAACACTCACTCACCAGAGAGAGAGAGAAAGAGAGATTAGAGGAAGGCTCAACGAGACTTTGAAATCTGGAAATGAGCAGCAAGCCACTGTTCCTGTGCACACTCAAAATCCTTTTCATGTGTCATGACTTAAGCTTCCACCGTGAACTATTATTAGCCCTTTCTTGCTCTTGGTGGCAAGTGGAAGAGGAAGGGAGAGGCAGTTAAGTTGAGCTGAGTGATGGAGGAGAAGCAGGAAGCAAGAGGTGGAGAAACAGCGCAGGGACCGGAGGAAGTGAGGGGCTGGTGCTGATGTGTATATAGGTCACTAAATCAATGGGAATCAGATTTTTGAAGGTGGTATTTATAGATACCAGTGGAGACAGATGCATCAGTGACAGGCACAATGTTGCTGGCAGTGAGGGGCTGGGCGGGAGGGGAGGATCTGGGAACCGAGTGCGGTCAAATTAGTCTGCTGAGAATTCTGCCCGACCAGCGAGGAAAGATGCTCAGCGGAGTGCAAATAGCACGGAGAGCTCGGTGCACGGCAGAGTATGATCAAATGAAAATCACTACAGGATGCTTGGGGTAAATGACTTTTTCGGCTCTATTGATAAAATGCAGGGAAACTGTTCAAAGCATTTCCATCAACGGCGATGATTTACTCACATCCTACTGAGTTTCTAATCTGCGATATCACATGAGCCACATTATTGAATGGAATATCGGGCCTCTGTTCCGCGAGCTTCAGAGGGAAAAATGTGCAGATTTATGAGTCAAAGTGTCAGAAGTCATTTTGGGATTTCTACTGAGTTTCATATTATAGATTTATTACACAGCATCTGTTTTAACAAGTGGCAAAAGTAGTGAGACATCCTTTTTGCTGAGGTTTTTAATAACTGTCATGCCTCATCTCATTTATTCTCTATTGCTCCATGTCTCTCTCGCGCTCTCCACCAAGAAGTTCCATTACGAATTGGTAATTTGCTCAGAGAACATGAAGGGAAAGAATAATTAAAGAAATTGTTTTAAATTGCTTCCTAAAACTGGCTTTTTCTGGGACTGTGTCAAGGTCAGGGGCAAATCAGTCCTCCTCCACTTCCAGAAGTCTGCCTGAGTGTGATGTAAGACCGCCTGGATACTGAGGGCTTAAATAATCTGCATCTCATTCCTGTAGCTTCTTGGAGGAGATGAAAAGTAACTATTTTCCTTTGCACCAAATGGTGGTTGGCCTATTTGCTTCCTTTCTGGGAGTTCCTGATCTGTTCACCTCCATGCACCTGTGTTTCTGCATGAAGGACAGTCTTGTGCATGCAGGAACACAATAAGTATGAATATATATAGAAGATAATGCAAAATAAGAGATTGTAAGAAAATATGCGTTTAAGTCAACTCATTTTTTACAGAAACTAGCGACCAGACAAATGACAAGAAAGAGATTTGTCTGTTAGATTTGAACAGACAAATCTAGTTCAAATTCATTTTTTAAACTAACTTATTAAATATTTTAACTTGATTATTTAAAAATTCATATTTGGTGGAGAAATCGAGATTTTTTTTATCACATATTTCTTGCATGGTGGCAAGCACCAGATTTTTTTGCTATTTGTCTCACTCCTACTGCTATTTCATACCTACACACTTTAAACACTGAATATCATTTTACTCATCTAGTTGTTTTAATACTTTAATTAATTATTGCGGACATGATTAATAAAAGTTACACAATGCTTTTAATTCATTACATATTCTCTGAAAACATTTAGATACATTTCCATTTATTTTCATTGTAGAGTTTGGTCCCATATAATCTTCTGAAATATTATGTATTTAGATTCCTATCAAAACCAAACAAACTCTAATCAACCTCCTGCTGGTAGATGTTTCCTTACAGTAGACTATGGGTAAATCTTATGAAACTACCATTAATTATCAAAGTGGCTCTTCACCAGTCTGTTGTTGTACTGACAGCTTGTAAATCTTAAAGACAGTTCCTCACAAACCAGATTCAAAATATTCTTTTAAGATCTTAAGTAGAATATGTGCATGTATTGGAATGTTACAGATAGTCGAATTAAATTGTTATTCATATAGAAATGTTTATTTCTGAAAAAAATGTTTTGGTCTCTTGCTTTTTTGCGGGGCTGCAGACAAAAAGAAGGTGAAAAGAAATTGCATAATAGGTCTCAACATGAAACGAAAACACAAGGCCTCCCCAGGTGTTCTCTAACTGAACCATTAAAATGACTCAGTTTTTGCTGTTGCAACAATAACCAAATGATACCAGAGTGTAAACTCCATTCATGTTTTGCACATGGATGTTTTACTTTATGACTACTTACATTTTTACTGAACCACTAATGTAATGTATTTATTTGTTTTTAAATTTGAGGTCAGTCTGCAGTTTTTTTTAAACATGTTTTGAGTTTTACAACACAAACACATTATTGTTCAAACATATAATATTTACACGACATGCCCCCACCTACTAGTTTCTTTATCTATCCATCCTCTTTCGTTACCCACTCGATTCTGGCAGGGTCACAGGGGGGCTGTCGACTTGCTCATGTGGTCAGTGGTCATCAGTCTATAACACAGAGACATGGGACTAATAACAATGTATGCTCAAACTCAAAGCACCTGATATACTGGATTTCATTTTATATTAATTGGGGAAAACACGCACAGGTGGTGTAATAAAAATCCTGGATCTTCTTGCTGTGTGGCAACATAACTGTTCTACCATAGCCACCAGTGTCTTTAGTAATATCATCTTCCAGTTGTTATTTCCCTTTTGATTTACGTTGAAAATGCAATATTATTATTTGGAGTTTGAGCCCCAGCAGAGATTTATGGGTAAAGAGCAGAAAACAAATAAACACACATTGCAAACGTATGCTGAGTGCAAGGAAACAGAAAAACGATTGTCAGAAAGGTAAATAGGACACAGAACAAACGTCCATGCACACACACAGTTTCATCAGAAGACTTCCAGTCTACTTTAAACTGAACTAGGAGGTGCTGCTGTCCATGGTGCTGAAAGGCCAAGTTCACCTAGTAATTAAATAAAATGGTGAATATTGAAACATGTTCCAATAGCATAGTTTTAATAATAATAGAAATGAGCTTTATTAGCAATTCATTCATATCTACGCTGTTTTTCTGATAAAATCAATATTTTAATATTTTATTAGTGTGTTAAAAAAGTGACCAGTAATGAACTGACTAAGGTTTTGTTTAGATTTGGCCCTTAAATAAAACTATAATATACTCCTAAAAATATTGTAAAATACCACAGGTATTTTACAAGTGATAAATGTAGGGACATCTGATAAAAAAAAAATATAATTTAATAGTTGACTTAACAAAATGTTGTTAGAATTAATGAAACAAAGTTATAAATGTTAAATTAAATATGGTGCAATTTGTGTAAACTGGAATTAATTCCAGTAAATTCCTTCGATAGTCATTAAGAGTTTCCACTTTGGAATATTTCCCAAACCCGCCTCCTCCTGGAAAGCTAATACATTTATGTGAAGTCTCTGGAAAGTAGACATTTTCCACTACTTGTTATTCCAGCAGCAGGATTGTAGAATGACAGGAGGGCAAAACTGGTGAAACACAAATACCTGAAATTGAACAGGTCAAGAGACCATGGCTTCCAAATAACCAGTGGAGAACTTGTACAGGTGCAACTGGACATCGCTTTCTTTAACCATTCCTGACACCCCCCTCGTCAATGCTGCCCTGGGTGGTTGTCCATTTCGTCAATGTTAAGAAAAGCCAATTTTTTTTATTATAGTTTTTCTAACAAAAGTGAAGACATTTCAAATTAATCTTGAACCAATTCAACAAGCTGTGACTCCATAACGCACAAAACAAAAATCCAACAATAATATTCAGCAGCAGCAGAGAAAGGAAGCACTGGAGACTTTACGCAGCTGCAAAAGTCACTCTCCCCATTTTGTCCTCTAAGTCACAGTACGGAGAGAGAAGGAGGCAGCGAGAGAGGAGAGAAGAGGAGAGAGGGAGGGAGTATAGTGAGAGTCTCGGACTGGTTAGCCTACCTATCCACTAGGAGGAGAGGAGAGGCAGCCGAGCAGCAGCAAAACAATAAACACCCACTACTACAAATCACATCGGCGGAGTTCACGGCGCACGCAATCAAAAAGAAAGAAAGAAACAGGAGTAATACTAAGAGACAACTGAGACAAAACGCCATTGTGTTCGGCCGGGAGTGAAGTCACACAGCCATGTATCTCAACAGGGAAGAGGACATCAGCAAAGGTAAGGAGATCCTGTCAAGAACTGCCACTCTGTGCTGGGGGAGCGTCCTGACAGTTTCAAGGTGTTTCATTGCTTAACGCGCCTCCTGTGCTGGAGGTGACACCAAAAAAAGGTGGGAATGTTCTGTCACACATCCTCCCCTTTAATGTGGCTCGTACTGGGAAGCCTCGTCCTTTCTGCGCGGACAGGGGATGTTGCTGAAAAGTGTGGGCTGTCATTATGTAATATCGGTGCAGTTAATTGCCCCCTAAGAGGATGCGTATCTGCACGCCCGATCCTGTTTTCTGCTTCTTTACTAAACCGATCATTTGTGAACCTGTTGTGGGCACATCCACTTTAGTCGTGCACGAATTTTGCAAGTGTGCACCGGCTGGATTTGTGCGCTTATTTAATGTTGTGGACGTTACGGGTAACGTAGCACAAGGTCAAAGCCTTGAGCTGCAAAGAAAAACCCCGGTCTAAATAGGTTATTATCTTGTGCGCTCTGCAGCATCCTGCAAAAAAAAAAAAAAAAAAAAAAAAAAAAAAAAAAAAAGATTCAAACGGAGTCGGCTGCAGCTTAATGCTTGTAAGGAGAGATAACCGTGCCGCAGCGAGAGGGGTAAAGAAGGGTACAAAGGAGGAATATTTGAGTAATCTCTCCCACGTGTTTTTGAGGCGTGATTCCCCTCTCTCCACGGCTGCTCAGAAACGCACTCGACTCTCATCCCCTGCTGCTCCCCACGAAGCATAAATAACTCCCCCCGGACTGAGAGGTAACACTAATTACCACCTAAATCTTCAGGTTGTACGGGAATAACACCTGCTGCTACTGGGTACCAGTCGCTGCAGGTGAGGAGGTGAGGGTGGTGAAAGAGGGCGCCAAAGGTGGAGTGGGAGGAGCCGTTTTTGTTCAGTTTCCCCCCGTGTGGTGTGAGATGTGATCTCACACGGACCGCAACACCGTGGATACTGTACGGGGAAGTGTTGAGAGGGAAGCAGCAGCAGATCCGTGAGATGGTGATGGTGGTGGCAGCTGGAGACGGAAACAAGAAGATACACAGAACCAAGATTACAGCACCAAACAATCCTCTCATTGACGTTTTGTCTTTCTTTCTGTCTTTACAAGAACATAAAGGTAAAGACAATTACTTAATAGACAGTAAATACAATAATCCATCACTTCTTAAGGTCCAGGTTCGAGACATGTTATAATTCTTCGCAGCATAAATTCAACAAGCTGTCAGAATTATTGCTGTCCTTATTGACACCATCACACATCTGCGGATTTGCTGTCTGCGTCCCGTTCTGTCACATCCCAGTGGTTATCCCAGTGGGATCTTGTGACTATGGAGACTACTGGAGTACAGTGAACTCATCATCAGATTCAAGATGTCAGTTTGAGATGATTTGAGCCTTGTGACTTGGTGCATTATCCTGTTGCAGGCAGCCATCAGCACACAGAAAGAGATGGATTTGGTCCACATTGAGACTCAGGTAGTCTGTGGCATTTAAACAGTGCTCAAACACTCATTGTCCCCAATGTACCCCCAATGCCAGATGGACCTGTGCTTTTATGTTGTTTATACCTAATTCTTACTGTGGTATATGAATGCTGCAGCTGAAATCACAACTTATTGGACCAGGCTGCGTTTTTTTTTCTAACCTATTATTGTCCTTTTATGATGAGCCTCAGGTTTTTGTACTTAACAGACTGCAGTGACTCCAGATGTGCTGCTCTGGGGGATGAGCTTAATTGAAAAACACAACTTTTAAATTGTGAACATTGTTTTTGCTTTTGATCGGCTCTCACAAGTTCAAATTTTGTATGGTTTGCTTTAAAAAGCTGTAAGTATCTGTCAAGGGAGGTTGCCAGGTTGCCCAGAATAGGACTCGTATCAAATATCTAAACCTTTTAGTTTCAGTCTGATTGAGCAGTTGTAAAACTTGGGGGAGAAAAATATATTTAAAAATCATTTATCCGATGCAGTGCTGCACAGTGGAGCAGATGCGAGCACTGTGTCCATCTGCAAGACAATGGATACAAGACAGTCCTGGATTTGAATCTAGTATCTTTCTGAATAGAGTTAGAGTTTCTCCCTGAGCATGGGTGGTTTCTTTCTGGGTAGTCTCACTTCCACCCACTGTCCAAAAGCATGACTGTTCGGTCAATTCAATATGCTGAATTGTGTCCTCTGTGTTTCTGTGATGAACTGGTGACTTGACCAGCTAGAGATGGGCACCAGTTCCTCCACAAATGGGCACTGAACATAGCTGGACAGATGATAATTCTATACATATGAAACCCTTTTATAATTGTATACATAATAACAACAATTCATGATTTAAAAAAATATGAAGCAGTCTGGTTCTGCTTTTGAAGTTGCAGTATCTTTTGTCTGCTAGTGAGCAGAAGCCTCGGTTCATCCTGGACAAAATCTAGAGATATTCTGCTCCCCTCACTATCCTCTGTTGGGCCCACTTGTCCACCATAATTCAGCTGGAAGACAACACTGAAATGCAATACATCAAAAACACCCAATCACAGCTCTGTAGAAGATTTTTTCTTTAAAAGCTCAGTCTCTGCTGAGTGCTTCACACTCCCTGTGGTGTTCTTCAACCATGGTGGGGTCATCAGAGATCTGCAGTTTTTGGAACTCAGCGTTATCAACTCTTTCTAATTCACGGATGCTGAGGCTGCAGGTTGTGACCTCAGGTCGTAACCTCTGGAAGACGACAATGATCTCCTTTACTTATTCATGTTGAGCACCAGGTTGTTGCTGCTGCAAAGGCTTTCTCGCTGTTTCACTTCTCCTACATATAATTACACTTGATTCCTATTAATGACTTCTAGTACTGTGGGAATATTTTTGCAGAACTCGAAACAAAATGCAGGAGGGAAACTTATGTTTGTGGATGCATTTACAAAAAGGGGAATTTTTTTATCTGTTCAGAAACATTCAAAGAGCAAGAAAAGCATAACTTTGATTCCCAAGTATTTCACTTCTGGAAGGCAGGTTAAAGAAAAACTGGCTAACTATTGTTTCTTAATCTTGTTAACGACTGACTTGATCTCTAAGCTGGTCTGATTCCGAAAGTCAATACAGTATGAGTCAAAATACCACTAAGGCTGTTGACAAATTAATACTGCATTAAAATTTTGACTTAAATTAAAAAAATCTTGATGCTGCCATGATGATTTTTTTCCTTTATGTCAGTGTTCATTCAGAAAACTAAAAGTTGACACCTTAAACTCTATGGTCAAGTTTGGTGTAGTGGCTTATCAGAAGGTAAATACATTCAGAGTTAATTCATGAGTTTGATTAATGGTAAAATTTTCTTCAGAACAGAGCAAGATTTATTTATCCTTGTTTCATTCAGAGTGAACCAGTCAATGAAGCTGGAGACAATAGCTTCTCTTTGACTGACACATTCAGTGTATTCCATAGCTGAGTGGGTTACATCACAATGGATGCATCTTTTACACACAGTCTTTTAGAAATGGAGTTGTTTTCACCTCATCAAACAATCTTTATTGAAATCCGCTGGTGGATTGAAAGCTGGAGGCAGCGTTTTTTGTTTTTATAAATGTCTATGTTGCAATTTTGTCATTTTTAGTAAGTACATTGACTTAATTTCCTCTTTAATGAGTTGAATCTCTCTCTATGTTGTTATTTAGTTCTTATGAGCAAACAACAAAGTTTGTTGACATTGTTAAATTGACATTATTACAAATTTTAGCTGAAAAAAAAAAACATTGTACCAATGCACCCCAAGAGTCTTTTCTGGCATTTAGGCTTGAAAAATGGCCAAGTTTGTTTCTGGTTTCCTGCTTTCCAAAAACACTTTGTGAGAAAAATAATGGACAAAATTGCAAAAGTGAGAAAAAAAAACTGCAACTCTGTCTTCATTTCTGAGCTCAGTATTTTCATTTTTGTCATTTCCTTTTTCTTGAACAGGAATCTCATTCTGAGTAAAACAATCAGTCAAGGTTGTGGCCACAATGCAAGGCTTTATTGAACAAAATACTTGTTTTGTGAGCTGGGTTGAGTTGAGTTGTTTTGAGGTTTTTTATTCATCTGTGTTCTTTAGTCTCTCTTTTTTGTTTCTGTTTATTTAGTTAAATGCTTCTTAGTGTTTCTAGTTCATTTCTTGTCTCTAGTTGTCTCTTGTTACTCTTTTTAATTGTTTTTTAGGTTTAGTCATTCTTTAGTGACTAAAGATTTATTTCCCAGTCCCTGTGTACTCTTTCTCTCTCTCTCTCTCTCTCTCTCTCTCTCTCTCTCTCTCTCTCTCTCTCTCTCTCTCTCTCTCTCTCTCTCTCTCTCTCTTCTGCTACAATCAGCACCACACCTGCAATCAGTTAGCCAATCAGCTCAGCTCCATTGTTCCTCATTCACTCTCTCAGTACTTAAACACTTCAATTCCTCTTGCTCTTTGTTTCTTCCCTGTTTTACACTGCTGGATTTTTTCCCCCCCTTCAATTTAAGTTCTTTTTTTTGCTCTGGTTCCCTGTTGACCCTGTGATTTTTGTAAGTTTGTCCATTATTTTTCTCATTAAGGATTCTTCATTTACTTCACATCTTTGCCTTTCTGCTTTTGGGTCCACCATCAAAACACACATCATGACAACTTGTGCTGTTTATGTTTTCCTTCTGACGAGACAAAAACTATTGATTTCAGTTAAAGCTGCATTGAACTAGAATGGCACAATATCAGGGAAACGTGACTGGGATACTAGACCTAAAAACTGTGATGAAGATATTGATTATGATTAGCCCATTCTGTTTTTTTTCCTCCTTTTTCACAATGATCGCAACACTGTGAGATTCAGGATCTCTGTACTTTCATTCCAATTGACTCCCATGTCAATTCCCATGTAGAGATCATGTTTATTTGTTAAAGCTGACTTCTATTCATCAATAATCCAAAAAATGTCAAATTTTAAGACATACTTCAGTGTTATTCAGACATAGTTTTGGGCAGTTTGTAATTTGCAGCCCGCCATGGACAGTACCTTT